AGAACTTTTAATTAGAACTTGTGGTTGCTATGGGAAAAAATTTGTCACTTACAACAAAGCCACATCTTTCTGTATTTAATTAATCTAAAAACTGAAAAAAAAAACCAAAACCCTCAAAACAAACACTCCCCACCCTCTCAGTGTTTAGGTATGCAAGAATCCAGAGTTCTTATGTCACAGAGTTCTCCACAGAGTTACTTTTTTCCTGTCCTAATGTCACTTTCTGCCACCAGTTAGGCAAACTCTTGTCTCAGTGGAGCATTATAGCTATTCATGAGGGGGGTTTTGGTTGGTTGGTTTTTTGTTTGTTTTGCTTGTTGCTATTTTAGAGATGTCATTTCCTTTGGTATTGATGTCACAATTCTGAAATTAAAAGTAAATTATCAATTATCATCCATGTCCAGTTTGATTTGAATGGTGCACACAGACACACGCTACTGAGCTGGACATAGTGCACACCCACAGGAGGACAATTACCACATTAGGCAGCTTAAAAATTAAACTGGACTCATGCTTAGAAAAGCACAGAGAAAAATAATGGCTTAGCCTATGCCTAAAGCAGTCCCAATACCATGTATTTTCTTAGATCAGATATGATAGATTTATCTGTAATCTATGTTAGATTTATCTGTAAGTTGAGTATTACACAACTATTGCAGGTTTTACTTGGTTAAATGTCTTTCTATTATTTAACCAAAAATAAAAGTTTAAAACCTCTTCAACTGGACAAATTATTCTCACAAAAGACAACTCTTCATCCTTCCACAGCTCCAAAACACTGTGGTGAGGTAGGTACATGGGAAGGCTGCTTTCTCACTCAAAGATTGCTTCACAGATTCTTCAGGGTGCCTCTCTTAGCCAAGAGTATTTGCTCCCAGCTATCATTGCACCTGTCTCATCACTCCTGTTTGAGCAACAGATGCAATGTTGCAATTACTCTCTTCAAATGCAATCAGGGCAGGTTTCTCTCAGGCCTCCCCCAGTGTTGCACCTGTACACACACATCGAAACACCAACATTAAAGCAGAAATGTTGAAGTCTCAGCAGGGGAATTCAGAAGCCTGCCCCTGTTCATCCTGTAGCCGAAATCTGAAAGGCTTTCACAAACACGGTTTAAAAAGCAGCAGATGGTCTTTACCTGTCTCTGCACATACAGAGATTGTACATGGGCACTCACACACACAGGAATTATGCATTTCCTTTAAAAGAAGGTCCAAGAAGTAAAATTCCCTTTCTAAATGCATTAAGGAATATTCAAGTTTTGAAGCATTATTTCCTTTAGAGTTCGCCTATGAGAATTACACAGTCAGAGATCACCTGCTTATACTTTATGGCTTAAAGAAATCCAGGCACTCCTTGATAGTGAATAAAATAGAGATGATGCTACACAAAGAATGCTATTCAAATGCAGGTGAAAAAGACTCCTTTCTTCTGACTTTCTTTCATCTCTTCTACCCTCCACAATAGGGATGGTCTTCAAAATTACAGATGTCTTCCTGCAACTGCTTAAATCTAGTCTTTGGCTAAAGTGCCTCTCTCAGCTCAGACTACACTTTAAATTTAAGCCATTTGAATATTTGAGACAGCCTTGACAGGTAAATTTCAATAATCACTTCTATGAGTATTATCCACTTCAGTAAGAGGGCCTCGGCCCCCTGTGGCCTCTGTCTGCAGCTGCCAGAGCACACAAATGCATATGGATAGCAGCCAAGGAGGTACCTTAGAGCATTGTTTCAGATAACTTCACATATCCAGAAATGTTTCTTCTGCTCCAGCCTGGGAGTCACTCAGAATCGTTAGCCCTCGTTATGAGCTTGAGTAAGACACCACCTGCGTTGAAGACTGTGATAGTTATAGTAGGTTCAAAATATGAATGGACAGAGAAAAGACTCCAAACCCACCTGAAAAAGCTGTAATTCCTCTCAATTTATCAACAGGTAAATGCAAAGTATTAAAACATCTGATGAATTTCCCTGGGCGCAGCAAATTAACTTCTGAATTGACTCCACAATAACTGCAAATTAGTTCACTCTCTAAATACTCTTGGGGGTGGGGGTGGAATTTGAATGTTACTTTCATTTGAATCAGTGCATTGTTTGTACTTTAAAAGAATAGTAAAGGTGCTGTAGAATTCTTTCCTACTATCCTAGAATGAGCAAGTAACATATTGCACTCAGAATATTGGATTGAAATTCACACTGTAAGTCAAAAGTTTCAAACTTCAGAAGAGTGTAAGGAGAGTTCTTTTTCTGATCAACCCAGGAATCAGTTCCTGTTCTCCAGGAAAGGAGAAGGAAACAGCATGATGCTGTCTGTAGAAACTTCCATGCTGCTAACGCAGACTGGGATGTGACACAGCAAGTGTAAGCATCTGCACAAACAAATAGCCTCCTCAGATATGTAAGGTTATCATTTATTTGGCAGAGAAGAAATTAAAAGTGTACCAAAGCTGCAAAATGAAACATAATTATTTCTTAAAATAGGAAACTGAAACAGGGATTAATTGATGCCTAGGTTGATGGAGAGTATCCTTCAATTCATCAGATTCCCGCAAATTGAAGAGTGTGCTGCAATACACGTCACACAGACAATGAAAAAATCATTGAACTGCAGGAGAGAACTGTTGCTTTAACAATTCACTTCACTCTTCATACAACAGTGAGCAGAAATAAAAATGTTCACGGCTGCCCTTTCTTCCTGTCTAGGTCTAGGACTCAAGAAAAACTTCCAAAGTATAAAAGGGAATCTTCTCTTGTTCTCTTAAGGAGATAAATAGTGGCATTCATTAACGTCACATGAATCACTTCCCTTAGTACAGGTACTGAACAAACAGAAATGTCCGTCATTTTCCAGCTACTTATTGTCTCATAATGACACAAATGTTTAACTTGCCAGGTAGGGCCATTATTATGGAGAAAGGGAAGAACAGTATGGTTATTGTAGCTGAATAATTATGTACCACAACACCTACAAGTTGAAACAAAATTGACGTAAAAGTGAAGGAGTGCAAATGGAGTTCAGACAAACAGTGATGGTTTTTCACTGATAAAGATGAAAGATGCAGATTCTGTAAAGTTAACATGCAGAGCAGCCTGTAGCTTCCAGTGAGTGATTTTCACCCCAGTTCAATCAACACGTGATTTCACCCAGATCCTAAGTTTCTGTGTTTCTTGGACATGTTTCCACACATCTGCTACCATGAACATCCTCCTGATTCACTCAAGCATGACTACACAGAAAGAAATCCCAAGTTTAAAGTTCAAAACTTATGCTTAACTAAAGAACATGCTGAAAGATACTTTCAGCTTATCAGGTTTTTCCCTGTTTAATCTATTATGGATGTAACTGCTATACTGGCTTAGAGGAATCTGCTTTCTATGCCTTCAACATTTTTGGGACAAACAGAATAGAACATCACTGCATATGAGTCAACAGTGGGCCCTGGCAGCCAGAAGAGCCAACTGTATCCGGAGGTGCAGGATACAGCATCAAGCAGGAATTACAGAAATTTTGAGTAGATTGAAGGAAAAAAAAAATGCCCAAAAGTCAAATATTGTGACATTGCAATTAGGGATTAAAGTATGACACACAATTTAATATTTGCCAACAATCATGATACAAAATAGCTTTTTTTCCTTAATCATGCCTCCTGCAATGGAAAATTATACAAAGATAGTATGTATCCTAAAGCCACACATTTCCAGCACATGTTAGTATACTCCATTTTTATGTTTTTTAAAACATTACTCACGAAAATAGATGTCTTCATTGTATTTCTTGCTTTGGTGTGTAAAGAATAGGCTGTCTGAAGACATTTGAAAGAATAAAATACAGAAAGCTAAGTTTCTCATCTGAAAAATTTTACTTTGAGGAAAATTTGCTTCAAAAGCAAGCATACCCATTACCAATTATTCACTTTCTGGCAATTTACCCATTGTTCCTATCCCAAATCATCAAGAAGATACTGAATATTTAATCTGTATGGGCACATATTTGTTGTCTCACTTCTGCTGAAGTGCTAGATGTTGCCAAAGGGTACATTTCCTCTGAATTAAGGAGATCTGACTGCTACCACCCATCTGAACTCCATACATTTCCTTCACAGGCCGATGACTGACACATTATATCTGCTTCAAATAACAATGCTAGCAAAGCAGGCAGGTGCAAAGAAACTGCAATTCAACCTTGTGTCAGCCTTGCCCGGTTCCGAAGCTCCAAAGGTTTATTTAACCTGCAGAAGCTGCCCTGCCTGCTGGGACAGCACAGTGGATGAGAGCACCCATGCGGGTGAGACGGGACGCAAATCCCATCCCATCCCATCCTTGCATGCAACAGCGCCTTCCAGCGGCTCCGAGGGCACAGGAAAAGCCCTGGCTCGCAAGAAGGGATCGCAGCACATGCAGAACTGCGGCGACAGGAAGCAGCCATGCAGCCCTCGCCTGCGGGAGCGCCACCTGGGGTGCCGGAACACACAGCACCCTTGCAGCAACACGTGCAAGAGTCAAAAGCAGGAAACCAGATTTATAATTGGCCTGAAAAATCTGAGCAGAGCAGATTCAGCAAATATTGAGACCTTCTTGTACATTAAAGACAATATAGGAATTGATCCCTTTTTTTTCCCCACAGTAATACGAGGTTAACAAACAGCTTTGGAAAAATTGGAAGTCAATAGTTTCAGATTGCAAAATAATCCTCAGGAACCAATTTTAATATGGTTTATCAGTAAAAAACTCTTGGAAATACAGAATGGCTATGTCCATTCCTGTACAGTAAACTATATCTAGTAATCAAAAATCTCTCCAGTCAAACTAATAGTTTGTGAAATTTATGATAGAAGAAGCTAAAGAAGCAAACTCATTTATCAAAAACTCTCACGTCAGTTTAAAGTAAAGGCTGTCTTGCAAGTAGCTGTTTACTTGTTGAGTTGCTGCCATAATTAATTCCTACAAATCATTAGGAAAAAGCAATTGCACAAACCAGAATAAGACAAACTCCCATAATTCTATTGACAATTTATATTCTCATGAGGTCCTGTAAACACAGTTATTTCATAACATTTACATGCAATATGTGGTTCCAAATTTATACGTAAGAAAGATACCAATCTAATTCTGTTAAAGATCAGGCCACTGCACTTGAGCCTCCAAATTACATTTCAATATACACTGATGATGAAACACTTTCTACTTACATCTACATTCCATCCATGCAAAGAACAGCATTAACCAGCAACTATTCAGTGTGCAAAATATGACCTTTCATACTGGGACCTCTCTGAGAATACTGCACAATTAAGTTCTGTTTTTTTCAATTCTTAAGGGAAGCTTTTAGGAAAGACTGGAACAAATTTTTAGCAGGGCCTGTTGCAATAGGAGAAGGGGTGATAGTTTTAAACTGAAAGCGGGTATATTCAAACTAGATATAAGGAAGATTTTTACAGCAGGGGTAATAAAAGACAGTACAGGTTGCCCAGAGAGGCAGAAGATCCCTTATCTCTGGAAACATTCAAGGTCAGGGTGGGGCTCAGAAGGCATCCCTGGTCATTGTAGGAGAAGCTGAACTAGACAACCTTTAAAGGTTTCTTGCAACCCAAATTATTCTATTATTCCCTTTTATATTTCATGAAGTTTTATTGAGTTGGTTTTTTTTTTACAGATGAGATTGACTTTCCTATGCAAACATGTGCCATTGGTACTATGTACTTAAAGAAATGTGCTATGTTAACTTGAAAGTCTTTTAGCTGTACAGTATGAAACCTGGTTATTATAGAAGACTAAAATCATGAGTATTTCACATTAATTCATAAATTAAATATTTTTAACTGTCCGTCTTCAACTTTTTACTCCTCTATACAGAAAAACAACCCTAAGTATATAATAGTTATCTATGTTGCCAAAACAGGAAGCAATCTTCACCGAGTTTAATTTAAGGCCAGTCGCATTGGATTCTCTATATTGGCTTTCAAGGTCTCCAGAAACTTGGAAGCCAGTTCATCATCCACCACCCGACCATCACTCGAGAGAGTCACTGTCATGAGCTGATGCTGCTCAAGTTTCTCATTCCCTTCTTCATCTTCCACAATCTTGAGTGCTGGTCTTGCTCGGCCCACAGCGAGGATGCAGGCCTGAGGAGGGTTTATGACTGCTGTGAAATCACTGATGCCAAACATGCCCAGATTGGAGATACTGAATAAAACAGAAAAGAGTTGCAGTAACATCAGAATTTACATATCCCCCCCAGGAAATAATCTATATACAAGAACCACTATAATTTAAATTTCCTCCAAGGCAAAACCCATTAAGTTAAAAATAGATCTGAACTGTTTTCAGTTGAGCACATTCAGACTCTCGAGGGTTTGGAATTTTTGCAATTAAAAATTATGCACCTTGTAAAAAGCCTCATTTCTTTACAGCAATGTATTCTTGCACTGCACACAATGAAGCCAGAAAGTAAGCCAGAAAAGCAATGTCTTTAAATATATTTTGCCTGTCTCTGTTCCAAGCCAAACGTCTTTTAGACTGAACATCACAACTGCAGGTTACAATGGCTGCTGGTATCCACTAAGCAATAAAATTTGGGCATCTAGGTATCACAAGTATCACATGAAAACATTTCTGCCTGTCAAGTGGTACATTAGGAAAGGCTTGGATTCTTCTGTGACAAGTTGTCTATGGAGAAAGCTGGCCCACCATCTCCTCCTTTCTGGTTACAGTTACAGCAAAGAGTGGAAAGAGGATTAAATGGTACAGTCCCACCATCAAATGGCACCACTGCCATGTTCACCACACACCAAGTCCTGAAGTGTCACATCCACCTGCTTTTTGAACACTTCCAGGGATGATGATTCAACCACTTCCCTGGACAATCTGTTACAATGCTTGACAATCCATTTCATGAAGAATTTTTTCCTAACATCCCATCTAAACTTCCCTTGGTGCAACTTGAGGCCATTTCCTCTCCTCCTGTTACTACCGGGGAGAAGAGGCCAACCCACACCTCACTACAACTACACTCCTTTTAGGCAGAAAGAGTGAAGAGTGGTATGGTCCCTCCTGACTTAACAATTCTAGTTCCTTCAGCTGTTCCTCACAAGACTTGTGCTCCAGACCCTTCACCAGCTCCACTGCCCTACTCTGGACACACTCCAGGACACTCCATGTCTTTCTTGTGGGGATGGAACCAAAACTGAACACAGGTCTCAAGGTGTGGCCTCACCAGTGCCAAGTACAGATGAAATGAACCTGTAGCAGGGTAATTGTCTGTAGCAGGGTAATTGTTTCCCCCTGATACAAGACACTCAGTCAAGGTTTGACCCTGAGAACCATCACAAGGGGTTTCAATCTAAAGAGAGCAAGATTTTAAAAGCAATGCATTAGAAGACAGTGAAATAGCTGAGGATAAAACAGTTCTGAACCCATGGTGCATGTATTAAATGCTGCTAGAGTTTTACCTAAAGGATCCTCCCTGGTACTCTTCTGGTAACAATTTTCCATCTCTGGCCTTCTTTGCTAGAGCCTACAGAAAATGAAAGAAAACAGGCAGAGAAAAGAAAAAAATCAGTGTGTTGTAATAGACTAATTCTTTTTATTTCAGTAAGACATTTTTAAGTACCACAGAGACATAAGGTAAGCAAAAGTCACTTGCTTTTGGATTTAGAGAAGCACCTCAGCAACACTGTTGTTCTATCTGCAATGATTTGGCAAAGAGACTAGGACACAAAACTCCATTTTCCCACCAATATTGGCTGTTCAATAAAAGCTGTTCTCTCACCTTACAAATATTGTTCCAGTTTTTACAATGAAACCACCATTCTCTCTGGTGGTTTTAGATTATCTAGCAAAATACTGATGAGATAAATTAATAGTATTCCTAACGTATTTGTTTAAAGAAACTGACATGTACCATTTCAGAACTTTCTACCAGACTAAATGAATATATTTCTCCCAGCTAAACATTCAACCACCTTTAGAAGGTTGCCTTTAAGGTCACTCCTTCTGTGATCTCCATTTCATTTGTGAGACTTTACTTTAAAATTCAACAGAAGAAAGCTTCAAATACAGCCCAAGAAGTTCATACTATGTTCCAAGATAAGATCACAGAGCTGTACAAAATTCTAAAATTCATAATAAGCATGTAAAAGTTACAAAGATACACTAAGCTTTAGTTTAGGCTTTTTCTCATCTCTGAATAATTGGTGAAGACAATAGCCATGGGAACAGTATTCACACAACAAGATCAATAGAAGCGTGATGCGTTTGTGCAATTGCATTATTTGAATGATGACAATCCAGTGCCAGAATGCACATGACCTGGAAAGAAGTCAACATTAACATGCAGCAGAAGGGGACAGATAAGCAATTACACGAAGACAGTGCCTGCCAAACTACAAGGGAGACTGACAGAGAAGCATCTGCAGTTCCAGTGTGTGCACATCAGGTACGTGTTTATTTCAGTAATTCAGTGAGGAAGTTGAAAAGCAAAATGATGTTAGTGTGGACACCTATGTCACACACATTCCACTTGAAAGGCAAGGGGAATGCTCACTACCAGGGCCCCATTGAACATAACACAAGCTGCATTCCATCCTGGGAACTGCAGGACATTGATCTGTGGTAAGACAGGTTTGCAATACTGCACACTATTACAGGTATTGGGGATTATTATAAAAGCACAACACTGAACAATGCTTCTCTTCTTGTCATTCTCTCACTAACCCCGCACAACCTCAACTGACCTTCCTCCTCAACTGGATACTAGTGTAAGGAATTGCTTTCACAACACATTCAGCATAAAGTAAGCAATATGGACTGGAAAAAAATCTTAAAAACACCCATTGATGAATGTTTTGTGGTATGATCCATCTTTTTCTGCCACAACTTTTTGGCTGTTTCTCTCCATCAACACAGACTATTATGGCTTCTATAGTTTCACACAAAAGGCAAGAATTTACGAAGTGCAGTAGTGTCTAGCTGGGGGACTCTTATGTCCTAGAATCTGCTTCCATTGCATTCCTCAGATGCTGTAGGTCTTTGATTAGCACTCGTTAAACAACAAAAAATGGCCTGTCTTGGGACATTTCATCATTCATTCTCCTTTTGCCTGCCAAAACCCACTCCTTTATCTGGCAACAACTGCCACATATCACTCTGACTGGCACGTGGTCTATGCAAAATACTGCTCATTAGTCTGAGGAGTTTAATGTTACATCCTTAATTGAACTGCATATTGGAAAAAAAATGCAGACAGAAATATGTTCCATAATATAACTGCAAAGAGTAGAAAACACAGACATAAGAAATTTTCTGGGAAAGGGAAAAAACACAAAAAAATCAAAATCTCAAACCCCAAGACTGGAAATACTAATGAAACTAGCATTAAGCAGCATTCTCTTGAGGATTAAAGAATTTCAATTATATTAAATTGCAAATGTCTGTACAGGTTTATTTTTCAAGCAGTCTAGCCACCATTCAAATAAATAACACAATATTATTGTTGATGAAAAATGCAGTTGCAAAGTTAATAAGAATTTTGAAGTGTAAGTAATGCTGAAACCGCTTTAGTTCCACTGCCTTTGTTATTACTGATGTGTATCTGGGTCACGCTACATTTTCTGCTACAGAAAACCATACAGCTGCTCCATTCCTCAGCCTGCTGCACATTTCAGACCCACCTTTGCAGAGGCAGCAATTTCCTTTATTCCCTTGGCAGCAACATCTTTTATGATTGGCGTAATGAGCCCTCGGTCCGTTGCCACGGCAATGGAGATGTCAATGGACTGCAGCCGCCTGCAGGCTTCCCCATCCCACGTTACATTCACATCTGGCATTTGCTAAAACACAGACAGACAATAAAAAAAAGACAGCTGTTAGAAGAATAACAGTGCAATCAGTTATTAAGAAAAAGGAAATTCCTTTAAGACACATAGCTACCTACAGGCATCCACCAAGCGAATTAGCTTGCTGATTTTATTCATATTTACTTCATCAAAAAGCAGGAAATGTATGTACCAGAAACTAAAAATGGCAGGACAGACAGAAGTTTGTTTGGTGCTGCTAGGAAAAAAACCCCACATTACTTCAAATGCAACGTAAATTTCTTCACTGATACCACCTTATGATGGCCAGCATGTAAACCCTCAAAGCAATGCAACTTCTCCCACAAAATAAATCACAGGATGCTGGATCTTAAAGCATGGAAATGGACGTCCTACTATACCCACATGTTTTTCACTGATTTCTCAAGCATGATTCCCAACAAATAATTTATGTTGCAGGTACACTCACTGTTATTCAGATGTTCTCCTAAAATGCATCAGATTATTTTTGTGGGTGGACTAAGTTAAAATTGAGATGTTCACTGATAATTTCATTTAGTTTTTTGAGTTTAATGAAATGAAGAAGGTATTCCAGAAAAATTACAGGAGGGACACAATATCAAAAGTGACTGTCTATCTAAAGTAACTGCACTCCTAGGAAGAAGTGGTATGACAGTACTCTGTGTTTCTATTCTTCAACACCAGCATGTACAGTGGGGAAAAAAAAAAAGAAGGAAAGAGAGAAAAGAAGAAAAAAGTATGTAGCATTCTTCTTTGCAAGCTAAATAAACTTCTAGAAGTCCTAAGGTTTACACAGTTTTAAGATGCTCTCAAGCAGGTGCTGTGCAACTCAAACTCTTTATATAAAAAGGTATTCAAAAGAGACTGTAGGGACAGAATTTGTCATTTCATAAATGAAAGAACAGCTGCTATAGGAGGTGTTGCTACAAAGCCCAGCCACTTGAGGATATCAGCCTGGAAGTTTTACTTCCTTTCTGCACCCTTCTCCCTCCTTGTACCAGAAAGAAGAATGGTTCTACTGGGCTGTCACCTGGTGAGCCCAGTGGCACATTCACAAAATCTTGGCTGTCAAATGTCAAGGCCAAGCTGAAACACAGAAACCATAACTGAAGTTGTGATATCCTAAGTGAAGGAGAAATTTAGCATGTTCAAGCAGTATCTTGAGGTGTGTCAAACTGTCAAACCAGCAACAGTCAGCTCATTAGAGCTAGAAGAACACATTTTTCATTGTTCAGAAATAAAGTAGTAACAAAATATTCCCTGAAGAGCACTCAGAAAAGAGTCAATGAAACTGCCTTGAATTGAAACTTGAAGATGTTTTCACACCACCCAGTTTCAGGGAGGAGAGGTACAGGTGGAAGTGGGTTTTCTTCTTTTAAAGCAGTTGCCCACATCTCTCCCTAAAATGCTGACAGAAAGCAGATGAGATGTGAGCTTGATCATGAACTTGTTTCCTGATATACTGAGTTTAATCTGTTGGGTCTTGTTTAATGTATTATTTTAGTAGTCAAACAAAAGCTAGCATAGATTTCTAACAAAGCAAGAGGATAGAAGAATTTTATTGATTACTTCCATATCAACACAATATTATTATCAGCTCAAAAGCTAACAGTCCCCTCAGAAGACAAAACACAAAACCTCTTGCTCTCTGTCTCCTGTTCCTTTTACCTGCTCTCTGGTGCAGAGATAAGTTATCCAACACTCCCAGCACTTTATGGTAAACTTTGGGTATCACTATTTCCTCACAAAAGGTTTCATTAGACCACTAAAAAAGCTTCTGGTTATGTACAAATCTAACAAAAGCACAGCACACATATTTAGCCCCTCCTTTTGGTTCTGGTATTAACTCGCTGGTTTTTTTCCAGTCTAAATAAGGCCTCCAATTTCTCTCAGGCACTTGCTTATGAAACTGTGTAGAATCCTGTCTATTTCCTGTCCAAATTATACACTGAGCTATACCTCTTCAAATTATACATTAATATTTAGTACATGTTCAGCTAGAAATCTGTTAAGTCTTTTCCAGTCCAGTGTTCTCTCAATTCCATATATCCATAGGAATAGGAACACTCCTCCAACTTAAACATAAATTCCTCTCAACCTTTAAACAGTTTGAATTATCCTCACAAATGAGAAAACCAGCTCTCACATCCTTTCCGATGTTTTTATATTATTGTGAGGTAATCCAGGCCATGAGAATTCCTAGCAATGAGCAGAATGGTTGCCAGAAGAATTTTTATTTCAAAGCAGGTATCACTCAATGTGCCATCAGAATACACCTTAGGTAATAACAAGGTTTGTGTGAGACTTAGATAAAGACTTGCTTATAACTAAAAGAAATAAGATGTACTTAAGATTAAATTAATGATCTTGGCAATGGCTTTAGTCTGCTGACTAAGCAACTACTGTGATTTGCAGATGTTAACTGCAGTAAGTGGAACGCCACTAAGAAGTTTTCATTTTTATAGTTCACAGCGTATCCAGTGAAACCTGGAAACCTTAAAAAACTTGACAATAAGTAATACAGAATTACCAGATTTACTGTGATCCCACTCATATCTCCACATACTCACAAAATACTTTTCTTGTCTCCTCGGCAGTTTACTACTAAAATATTTTTTTAAAGTTAATTATTTGCTTACCTTCAGAGTAACTGCTGTTGCCTTGATAATAAAATCATTTACAGATACTTTAATGTCATCTGCAAAGGGAAACAGAAAAAATTTAAAAAAGAATAATCATTGTTTGTAAGATTTGCTTTATCAGCATTTGTGTGATGACAAGATTCTAGTGATTCAGCAGATTTATTTCTTAGAAGCATTAACAGAAAGTCACTTATCTTCAAAATCCAATAATAAAAGAGGGAAAACTTTTCCCCCCCTTGAGACAAAAGGCATATCCATCAAGAAAAATCTCATGCAAAGGCACTCAGGAGAGTTTCAGGAGACTAAAACTGGTAACTAAAATCAGGAGTGGCATCAGATAAGAGATACAAAGCAGATTAGGCCATAAAATTACCCTGAAATGCATGACATTTACACAATATTAAACTCATCATTCTCACAATACAAAAAAACTACATTACCCTTCCACCACCATCACCATTGTCAGCAAAACTGATCAAGTAGCAAAACTGCCTAATTTTCAAATCTGGTTTATGGCATATAACATACACATCTTTAGAAATATTTTTGCAAGATAAAATAATTTATAGATAATTATATCAAGTGAAACATTCTTAATTTATCACAAATTTAGAGGAGTGAATCAAGTATTCACTTACCACATAACTGGCTTGCAACATTTGCCATGATTAGTAATCTATGTGTAAGAAGAGAGACAGCATTCCAACAGAACACAATGGAACTTTCAATTCTATGCTGCACTGACAGAATTTCACATCAGACAAACCTGTACCTTCATCACGAAACATACACTGGTTTCTGTTTACACACTACATTCCTAACCCTTGGCAAAAATGTCACTGTCTGGTTCTAGAGCAGGAATACAGTTAAATGACCCACATCTGGTAATATTTTACCCTGCATCACTGAAGTTTATAATAGTAGAAACCCCCACAATTTCCTTCAGAGGAAACAAAAATCTACCAGGACAAGCTCTGTAATTCAATTTCATGCACAGACATATGGCTTTTCCACCTCTGCATTTAAAGGAAATACCCATTAAGAATCAACAACAGCAGGAGAGGTGTGAAAAATTTCAAGTGAGTATTCCTAACTAAGATCCTTTTTTGGTTCCTTCCTTATGAACTGCTGCTGCTTAAAGAAAAGATCAACATCAGAAAATGTCTTTGACATTAATTTGTGAATAAGATACCATTAGTAAAAATAACAGGTAGAAAAATCACCTGGGTACTGTTGCATTAAAAATTAGTCACTCAAAACTCCAGTAGAAGGACAAGCAGCTCCTGTAGCATCATCTAGAAAACCTGAATATATCTGTCAAATTTAATTTTAGACCACACAAACAGATAAACAAGCATGGGCTAGTCACTAGTTGGCCTCAGTTTCTCAGTCAGTAGAGCAATAAAAATGTAAGTTAAAATATTCTGCTGCATTATTCTGAATGCAGAGCTCCCATGGCTTAAGAAAGCTACTATTTGAACCTACAAGCTTTCAAACAATGGCAGTAACCATGAAGCTTTAGATCAACATTTGAAGTGTCTTAGACCTAAAATTATTTCACCCAAGTCACAGACTTAGTACCAGTCTAGGAGGTGCATGTCTCCATCACCAAACAGAGGATCACTAGTGCTTATGCAGCCTGGTAATTGTGGAAAATAAGACTTCAGAGTGATGTGTGAGTTGGCAAAGTAACACCTCTGTCTCCCTGTATCCTGACAAGTTGTCCAATTCAACAACTTCCAGGAACTACAGCTTGAGTCCAACATACTGAAAAAAAAACCTATTTGAATGCATAGTGGTGTACCTAGACAAAATCTCCACCTCCTGGGGAAGTTTATGTAAACAGGAAAAATTAAACTATAGTATAACTACATTAGTATTACCACATGCTAAAGTAAATCAGACTACTAACCTTTGGCCAATTCTTTTCTTAATTTCAAAACAGCATCAATGGCACAGTCAGCAGCAGCATATGCATGAGGTATGGTGGTTTTAGATTCTGTTAATCTCTTAGCAATAACTCTTCGGATGTTGCTAGCTGGGATTTCTGTGAACGTGCCCTAAAGAAATCACATGGTGAATATTAAATACCAGGACAGCAATCAGTTCCCCTTTGCTGAAAGTACTCCAGCATTTATGCATTAGGCATCAGTGACTCCTGCCCATGTCAACTATCCCCTAGGTATGTATCCAGTGTGTATCCCCCAGGTAATGTATCCAAAAGTGACACATTCCAATTACTGAAATGAATATGACAAAAACCATTGAGTTTTCTAGTCTATTCTTATTAACTGGGATCAACACAATAGGTTTTACATAACAATTCCATTTTATTGTATAGAATTACCCTTGCTTAAAAAAAATAATCCAAATATTGAGGCATTTATTTTCAGCCAGAGTACATAGGCACTGTTTCATCTTCCAGACTTGGCATATTGCTCAGATCATGCTTTTTTCCATTTAAATTATAAAAAGAACACCTCCTCAGTAAGCTACTGCTTTTTCAATTCCCTGTGTAATTCCTTAAGACAGGTTTTATTGCATCTTTTCTGTTATTCTTCTCTCTCCTTCCAGATATATCCAATAATGTTTCAATTGCCAACTTCTTCCTAGAAGCAGGTCAACTTGCAAGAAATCTCTTAAAATATTAGTGACTACAGAAGGCAAGAAGATAAATGATTCTGTAAGACATTATTCTGTATACTTAATCTTCAGCACATATCCCTTGAACATATAAGGATTCATAGAATCCTTAGTACATATTCAATAGTACTCAACACACAATAAATTGCAATATGTATGTTCTGATGCAATCATAAAAACATTTTATTCTGTAATGGATCCAAGTCTGAACTTTTGAGCTGTTTGGCTCTTTGTACAGTGCAAAAAAAGGGCAGCATTTTCTGAATATTATGAATTGTAGCTACATTGTAAACTTCAGACTAAAAGATAAATCCAATTTAGTTCTAGAGCCACAAAATGTTTTTCACAAAAGCTTTTCAATTTCTACTGATGTCTATTGCAGCAAAGGCATTTATTCTTTAAAAAAATATTTTCTGGTATTTCCAACATTTCAATTTAACATAGAAACTTACTTAGGTTATAGAGTTTGCAGAATTCCTCTCCAAGGCAACTACCAAGAAGCCTTTTCCTTCCTCACTTCTTGACAACTCATTAATGGACACTTACATCTTGCAGAAAAGCAAACTAATTAAGTACAGTAAAAATAAATCATCATTCTAGTTTCTCCAAGGTCTGCAATATAAATTTTTCCATCACTTTAATTTGCAAGCTTCACAAGATAGTATGCAGACCACCATTTCAAGGATTTCACAGTTTTAATTACATTGCCTTAGAATCACTGAGATATACTAAAAACTGCACATCCCTGAGCTTGGCATATGGGTGGCCTTAGTTTCCTTCCTCTCTCTAGATCTAGAAGTCTCAGAGCTACTGAAGCAGCTTTTGCACTGTTCAGCTGTAGCAATGCTGAAATCTTAGCAGAAGTGTTACCAGTGCAGCAGGTTGTCCTGGTATGGAAACTGGTGGAATTGCTGGCCTTGGATAAGAAGTCACGGCTGGTGCTTGTGAAGAAGAAGGCACTGCAGCAGGAGCTGGAGAAACCACAGGTTTCAATTCACTGGGTTTACCTTTCTGCTTCTCTTGCAGAAGTTTGAGAGCATCCCTGGGGATTAAACACAGTGAAATACTGACAACAAAGAAACTATTTAACAATTACCTGAGTACTACTATTCCATCACTTATTCTATTTAATTAGCCACTTCCGTACATTTAAATTTCTGCTGCCAAACCAAACATTAAGAAGGGGATTATTATTAGAAGATATTAATTCTGTGCTGCCTTTGTGGTATCTTTTTAGTAAATTCTCATTAACTTCTATGAATAAAAGGGCCTGAATATGCAGTAACAGAAAACATTTGTGCCAGAGAAGCATAACAATCATCATCACTAACTGTAAGCATGCAAAGTGATTTTTGAAATGCACTGACAATTCTTCTAAATGAAGCAGTACATTTATTCAGGCTACAAAGTCTAAAGTAAAAGCTATTTCTTCTTGTATTTGTAATAATCTGAATTTAACGTAATTACTTAGTGCTAAGAGGAAACTGAGTAATACATTTATCACTCATTTCTGTGCACCTTTCTGACAAATTTGCAGAGTGAGGCACAGATGTTATACAGGCCCATACTTCCTAACACCACACTGGAGATACAACCCAAAGTGTTCTGCAAGGATTCTTTACTGATACAGCTACCAAGACAAAATTTTCCTGTTGTGGGCACAGTATGACAGAGAGGAGAGACTCCCATCTCCAAGCCATGACACTGTGTCTGCTCCAGGTGCACTGCACTCATAAAGCAACAAGCTAAAGACCAGCACCTACGAGGCTGAACAGCAATAACTGCATTTCCACCACCCCTGCCAACGGCAAGGCAAGTCAATTGTAGATCTCCACTCTTTATTCTCCAGATCTGCTAACAAATGCCTGCGTGATATACCCTAGACAAATCTCTATGATTTCACCAAGACACAGCATGTACACAAAAGTTCATTTCCACAAATTGGCAGAGGAAATTAAAATAAATTAAAAATCAGACTCCTTACAACACTTCCAAGGTTTTGAAACACAAGCCATAAATACTAAACCAAGCTACCTAATTTCAGTACTGCTTGAGAGACTATTCTTGAGTGACAGCCAAGAGTTTGTTATTAAATCTTTATAGAAAGAACAAAATCTCAGAACATTGTGCATTCTCCATTCCTCCTAAAAAGTAGTACTCCAGAAATAAGAATTAAAAATTGAAAACCTCTGCAGAATGCCTCTTACCATTGCTGACTCGCTTCAATTTATTTTTACCTTCAATATATACTTCAACAAACAATATTGAAAACAAAAAAAGCAAATGAGCTCAAAATAAATTTTTTCCTAATTAAAAGTAGTTACTTGTTTTCCCAAATTAATATGCTCACCAAGATTTGTTTTAAAATTAAGTATTTATTATTTGACACAACTACTGTATCAGGGAAAAATATCAGATTGGATAGAATGAAAATCATTCCTTAGCATGACAATTTGAGCCATAAAAAGTAACTGCATGACATAATGCAAGCTTTTTGGTTAACATTTAGAAGCTACCAAAAATTTGTTAAGGGCTTGCACTTGGCAGTCATAGGAGAGACCATCTGGTTTTGGTGGTTTTTAGTGTGTTAATTGGAAAACATATTGCCAAAATTAAGCTTATTTTTAGATTAAAAGATTTGCTCAATACTTTCTGAAACTAACTTGTACAAAAGGCACATATATAAAAATCAAAGTTCACATGTATTTGTTATACATACATATGAATAGAGATCCTCCATCAATTCCAAATTATTTAAGTGGTTAAGAAAAACAGGTACAGCAGTGTTATGACTGTCATGGTTGCAACACTGCATATAAGCAGAATATAAGCAGAGTTAGAAGAGGCATCTAGGCATATAAAATTAAACAGCTTTAAGTTAAAGTCAGGTAAGTAGATATTTTATTACAACTGGAAAAGGAAGGGTTGGTCACATCTTTCCAACAACTCTATAAACTTCTATCAACATGGGTCAGTAACAGAGGAAGAGAAGAAAGGCAACAAACATCAAAGAGCAGCCTACTTTGCGGAAAAGATGAAAGTTTAGTAAACATTTATTAAACCAAAATATGCTTACCAAACTGTTATTATTAGAAATATGCAGATTCTGGCAACTTTGTTAGACTTCAGTTTACCACTACTACAGAAGCATGTAGTCTTTTTACTTCATGTTACCCAAAACCCAAAGAATGGTGAAAGCAAACTGAGTATTTTGTGTTCAAATACTTTTCTTGATACAAGTTAGGTTACAGACACCTAAGAATCACTGAGGATCCAACAGTGCAACAAGAGATGCCTGGATTGACACAAGCTTCCTGTGGTGGCAGTTACTGTTACTAAATTGCACCCAATCCCTTTCCTATCTTTCATATTCCCTTTCCACGTGTTTACGCCTGTTTACTCATTGATAGATTCCCTGCAAGAAGGCAAATGGGTAGCAGAGATTCAGAGCACATCAGAAACCTCCAGGTATCACATCTACTGCACTATCATTGTAGAAGGAACTCATTCCTCCCATATAGCAGGTAACAAATTGCACACAGCAGAGATCCCAGGGTCAGTTCATACTCCATACATACACATGAATTTCATCTCCAGAAAAACAGCACTCCATGGGCGTGCTGTGCGTTCTCTGCAAGCTGAAAATGCCTGAGCAACTCAGAGATCCCAAGACACTCTGACTTAACAGCTGGGAGCAACAGGGCCTCAGAAAAGCACAGTCTCAATGACCAGCCTCTTCATGGCTGCATTTATAAATCCCTAGACAACTATGAAATAGAATGGGAAAGGGCAGTGGTAGCTGAAACAATCCATTTTAATATAGCCCTCTCAAACAGTGTCTGAGGTGATGAGTAGAAACATGGTATAATCTTTGACAGAATATCTGAGTTACTTTGTACTGGCACACCAATTTTCTGGGACATTTTTGAAGAAAATTATAATAAGTGCTATATGAGGATATTACTTAGAAATAACAAATAAAAAATCTCTGGCATTCCTTAAAAGAAAAAGAAAGCACACACAAAACCAACAACAAAACAGGCAGGAAAAAAACAACAGTAATTCAACCTTGAACAGGCACATAAGAGAAATATAAATAAAAGTATCCAGATCAATAAAATAAAGTATTGGCCTACTAAGTGAGAGGGTCATGACAGAGAACACTAGTAGAGTGGAAGTTCCAACTGCTGTTGCAAGTTTCACAGTGAACTGAATTTAAAGATAGAAAGCTGGGGGAAAGAATCTTGCTTGCTTATGTAATAACTTGCTGTCTTTCTTTCTTGTAGTCTGGTGAGTGCAGCAAAGGAAATATTTCCCTGAATATCTACAGCAGCTCTCTACAAAAATCTGCACATTTCATTTCAAACTGAATATAATAACAGTCCACAGGCATCTGAAAGATTAACCCCATTTCAAAAGAATGGTTAAAAAACCCCAGACGTTGTTCATCTTAAACTGGCATTTCACAGTCAAATCTTTTGTATGAAAAACAGTTTTAAAAAGAAATTATTTTGCTAGACAATTCTCATAACTACAGAAAAATCTTTGCTAGATCTCCATGACAACTAGGAAGTGTTAATTTGTTAGCTCAAAGTCCTAGAGGGTTTCCACCTGCCATAGCCTCATTACACACCATAAATTACCATTACACTTACATAACTAAGAAAGAACTCTGTCTGATGACTTGCTGTTACATAGCATATTCTACCTATTCAATTCCTTATTATATCTCAATTCAGCCAAAGGTCATAAGGAAAAAAAAAGTTTTGAAAAACTGTCAGCCACTTTTCTGTCTCCAGTTCCAAGTTACACTGACCTGGTCCTGGTTGTCTCTGAATGGAACTAAAATAAAAAATAACAGTAACCAGCAAAGTCTGTGTAAGTGAATGATGGTATTTGTCAAAAGAAATCATTTTCCTGAGAACAAAAATATTTATTTCTGCCAAAATCCTCACTTCCAACAACATACATACTCATGTGAAGAGAATGCATCACTTCAAGGCTAAATGCACCAAATCTACCACATTTTTTTACACTCAAATTTCTCACTCAAAGGCTTGAGTGCCAATCATTATATTGCAATACTCAAAAAGGTATAAAAAAACTACTGGTTCATAACAAACCACACCTTGGTAAACAAACATGTTTTAAATCATAGAGAGGAAAGAAAAATGGGAGAAAAACAGAATTCTGAAATTTATTATCATTACACTTCATTGCTCTCCCCAGCCTAATAAAAATAGGAAAAAAATTAAAATTCTTACAGATTTCAGAACAGAACTACAGGAAAAAAAGCAAAAGATCTGAACTCCCTGAAGAAAAGGAGTTGAAGAAAATACCAGAAAACTGGTTTTTATTTGGGATCTGTGTGCATCTTGGGAAGTAAAATTCTTGAGATCCACAGTGGTAGCTAATAGTGCTGCTTAGGAGGCAATAGGCACCATTAGGCTGAGCTGCAGGAAATGTGACAGCAGTACCACACAGCTAAGAAGGAACTTAAAAAATACAAATATGTGTTTTGTTTTTTTTTCTAATTAAGGCCTTCTTCAAATACTGCCGAATCCATTCTCCCTATCTTTTCAACAGATTTTTCAAGTTTAACTATACCTGTCCACAGCAAAAAATGGAACAAAGACAGGGCTTTTTTAATAAGCAAACTTTAATCTAATGGAGGTTAGTCTAATATCAAAAGTTGTAGGTTTACCAAATTCTCTACATACTCTTTAGTGAAGATTCCTCGAGGCCCAGTAGGTGTAACATTGCTTGGATCTAGTCCGTGTGTCTCCAGAATGTTGCGAGCTGCAGGACTCAAGCGAACCCTGAAGAAATGAGGGGGGAAATTTAAATTATTTAAATAGCAAGATTAACTTATTTCATTAATGTACATCATGAGAAACTACATTTCTCTCTGGTCAACTACAAATCACAGCACACTGGTACAGAGTAACCAGTGCATCTTAATATGATTTGCTTTCTGAAATGAGGAGAAAAGCCAACATCTAGAGAAAATGTTTTAGAATTCCTAAATACAAAGCAACAACACACTCATAAAAGAATAAATACTTGGTTTCAAGTCTTTCCACAAAAATCCCCTATTCATTATTTCCCAAAGGAGACTATATTTGCACCTCATTGAATTTTAAGAATAGTCCATTAAGCCCTTGCCAAAAAAATCCCATGTCATAAGTGATCATTTGGTTCCAAACATGCTGATACATCTCTAAGAGTTGCAGTGAAATAGCACTTCTGTTCTTTGGAACTAAAATGAAAGACATAATCCTTTCAAAGATCCTTTTGTGGATCATCCTCCTGCTGCAGGTAATACCTGGGCAATGACCTCAGCTGCCATCCACCTGCATGAGAAAAGCCTAGATGTTGGCAGCATTTAGAACACAGCAAACCAGCAGACAGAAAAGATAATGAGGTTTGGGAGGAAAAAAAAATAAGCACAAATAAGGAGTGATACCTCCAAACAGGATATATCCTGGGACACAAAGTGATTATAGATTATTGCTACCTAACACCCTGGAGTTGACCCCTCCTCCAAGGTCTTTGCAATGCTTAGAATACCAACAGATCCAAACCAAACTAACAAAGAGCACATAAACTGACTGGTTTAAGTTTTTTGCACTCCACTGTTATGAAAATATTAGAATAATATTTTTTTAATGTCGAAAATGCAAGAGCTTGTAAGGACTTCGGAGTGTGCTGTTTCTTTATTTTTTCTCCTCAAATAAATAGAAAACAAGTCACAGGTACACTTGGCATCTGATGCATAAGCACTATTGTCCATCCTGTATTAGCACAACTTCTTTCCAACTGTAAGCTTAGTATCCCTCATAATTTAATTGCAGAACAGAATAGAAGTACATTTAATTCTATTAACATTATGCTGCTTGAATTGACTTACTGGGCTTATGAGCAAAGAAATAGTCTAGGCCTGCAAGGTTTATCTTCTCACTCATACTGAAACACTCTCAAAATAACAGCTACTAGGTAAAAAGGGACGAAAAGTATTTCTTGGTTCAGTTCTTCTGATCTAATGAAGAGTTCCATTTCATAACAAACATAGAAACTTACTGCAATTTCCCAGGTTGATGTTGCAGTTTAGGAGGGGCTGAAACTGAAGGAGCTGCAGGAGCTGAGGCAGGTGCAGGTGGAGCCACAGAAGGTGGACTTCCAGCATCAGCTGGTATTTCAACTTGCTTCCAGTCCTGGCCTTCCTCTACCAGCAGACCAATTAGTGAGCCCAAGCGAACATTTTTGCTTCCTTCTTCCACCTAAATTAAGAACATGAAGTTACATATTACACTGTCTGCTCTGATATGACTAAAACCATTAGACTTCAAAGTTTCAGGCATATTAATGACAATTCATCAGTAAGATATATCCTATTTTATTGCTACTAATAATAAGATATTTCAAGACTGAAATTAATTATAATTGCTATTATAAGAACATTAAAGTATGCCCCAAACCTCATACACCTAAACTTAGCACTCACAAATTAAAGTAACTTTTTATACACACAGCCTTTGCAGCTCAGAACTAGAATAGAAAAAGAAAAATTATTACAATTTTGCTTAACTTTTCATCTCCTGGATTTTTGAGTCACTGCTACATTTTTGTTACTCACAATAAGAAAACCCCTGCATAAACCTCAATGAACCCTGGAATCTCAGATTTAGAAAGAGCTGAAATAAATAGAAGGACTCTAGGGTGCTGGGATGAGAGGCTGGACACAAGCTAACAGTGTGGATTAGCAGCCCAGAAAGGCAAATGCAGGACTGTGGCCAGCAGGGTGAGGGAGATGATTCTGCCCCTCTACTCCATTTTTGTGAGGGCCCACCTGGAGTGCTGTGTCCAGGTCTGGGGTCCTCAACAAGACATGGACCTGTTCAGAATGGGTCCAGAGGAGGGCCACAAAGATGACCAGAAGGCTGAAGCACCTCTCCTACAAAGACAGGCTGAGGGAGATGGGGTTGCTGAGCCTGGAGAAGAGAAGGCTTTGGAGAGACACTCCAGCAACCTTCCAGTGCTTTAGAGGGTCTTACAAAAGGGAGAGAGAGGGCCTTTTTATACAGGCAGGACAAGGGGCAATGGTTTTACAATCGGAGAGGTTTAGATTAGAAAGAAATGCTTCACTCAAAGGTGGAAAAGCACTGGAACAGGTTGCCTGTTAGGGTGGTGGATGCCCTATTCCTGGAAGCGTTCAGGGCCAGGTTGGATGGGGCCCTGCACAACCTGGTCTAGTGAATGGCATCCCTGGCACAAGATGATTTTTAAGGACCCTTACAAGCTAAAACATTCAATGATTCTATGTAGCCAAGAAGAATCAAAAAAATCCTAGCTTTGCTACCAAACCAACAAAGCACAGGCAACCGTGACAGGGAGAAAAAATTGGAGATAAAGTGAACAGAGAATAAAATTCCCTTGCGGCTTTTGCCACTGCAGCATAGTGCTTTAGTCACTAACAAATATACACTGAAGTAAATGTTTATTTCCTCCACTGGAAGAAAAAGAGACTGAATTTGCACTGGCTCATTCTGCAGTGGAATTTTTATACAAAGTATTTTCCATACCAATTCTTATTTAGGTCATGAATGAGAAAATGGTAACAGATACTAATGTTAGGGAAACTTCCCTGTCTGACCATCCAGGAGCCATTCTGGCAGTCAGTCTCACCACATGAGGAGGGACCAAAGCCCCTTTAAAGTGGGTGCCTCCAGTAACCCCATGGGTGCCTGACCTGGCCCTGCAAACCCTGCCCCCACATTCAGACAGGGCTTCCTCACCAGATTGACCTGGGTTTTCCATAGCAGAATCTCAGACACCTGGATCCCTAAAGCAATTTTAATTGTGGCCCAGTAACACAAAACCAGCTCAAGCTGGTGCCTCTGGGGAAGGACCACAAAAAACAGAATTCCCATGCTTTCATACCTTCAGTCTGGGGTCGTCCTACTGAGTCCTTGGCTCCTGCTGTGTCCCAGTGTCCAATCCCCTGGCTGGTGCCACAGGTCCCTGTGCCCTTTGCTGTGCAAAGGATCAGCACCCAGTAAAAGCCCCTATTCTGGTGTTCCCACCACATCCCCCACCCAGGGAAAAACCTGCAGCTGCACACCCAGTACCTGCTCTAAGTCTATTCCTCAGCAATTAATTACAGTTCTTAAATAATCATTCATAATCTGTTATGTTCCAAATTGAACCATATTTTAGGGAAAAAAAAATCAGTGTTAATTTAAGAAGCAACTCAACTGAAAGAACAGTCATCATTCTGAAATTACCCTTCTAATATTTCATTCAGTTATTTAATCTTTTACTGCATTTTACACTGAATCAGATGTGATCATTAAAAGACCTATTCAGACAGAGAAGAAATATATATGCATGAGTTTCTATTTTACTGTTAGCCTGCTCTTCCTAAACCATACCTAGATTATACAGTCAAGAAAAACCAAGAAGGGTTACAGAAGTTGAATTCATTTAACCTAATGAACCTCCTATCTTTAAATGCAAAAACCCAAAGCATTAAGCAGACAGTGTGCTCATCTGACCCAAGTTTGCCATACTGAACTCTGTCAAGATGGTTCAGAATTGTAGCTGGCAAAGGCACACACTTTTGTCTCATTTCTTTAGGAAGTGAGTGAAATCCAGCCAGATGATAGCTCAGAGGCACAAAACATTTTTAAATTCCCATTAACTGCATCACATGTGAAACTTCTGAGCAGCCCTTGGAAGCACAATCTTTTCAATAAGTAATCATCACCTCATCCACAAACCTGGCACAGCTCATTTTATAAGCCTTACACAAACATCTATTGAACACCTCATACAGAGCAGAAATATCCACAGATAGTGCAGAAAGACAACCAAGGATCACACACTAGAGAAAAAAAAAGTCTGAAAATTTCTGACCTTATTGCTCTCTAGTTATTTTAGTTTCTGAAACATCAGGTTTTCTCTGTACTTTTTAGGAGACTGGAATAAGAGCCTGCCTATCCTGTACTCTAACTCTTAGGCCCACCATTTCTAGATTCCAGGGATTAAAAGAATCCATTAAAAATTGGGTTTGCATAATGATCTGTTCATGTTACTCCAACAAAGCTGCCTCTCTTCCCTTATTCTGAAAGATGTTATAGTTATTTCTACCTCCTGGCATCTCCTTCTCAGGTTCAGCTCTTGGCATTGGATTGTTACTGGATCATATAGATATAACTAAGGCTGAATGTCACTACTCCATGATACTGATATCATCTAGCTGCTGCAGAGTCTGGCTTTGATCTATCAAAAATGTGCCACAAGAGCAATGCACAGAGAAATTTTGAAATTTGCAATGCATTTGAAATACAAGACAGGAAACAAAAAACCCCCACAGCTTCTGAAATACTAATGTTACTTGTAGCCATCATGAATTACTATAAAAGAAACTAAGCAAACTTCAATTTAATCTCTCTAGGATTAAGTCTTTAATACTTTTGACAGAGAGAATCCCCTATCTCCCCCTCACACTATCTAACAAAGCAGTGACTGCAAATGCAGAGGCAAACTGATTATCAGAAACATTCAAAACTGAAGGAGAGAGATTTAAAAATAGTGAAAGCATTGCCCAGCAATTATTTAAATAACTACGTGGAGACTAAACACAGATTAAAAAATATGTCTGATGTGAGACTTCATCCTGGCATGGCAGAACAGATCCTCTGAAACCTATTAAATGTGTTCTTCCATAGTTGAACACCAATTTAGCAACACAATTAAAAGAAGGAAAAATATTTTAAAAACTTTTGTTTTAAATACAGTAGTGCTTAAATACAAGTTATCCTGCAGAATTGAAGACTAATGAGTTTTTGTAAGCCCTGATAGACTTCATTTCCAGCTGAGTTCTATCTTACATCCCCTCTCCTCCCTCTATCTCAGCCCCCTATCTATCTCAAGACTTTCACTTTTGCAAAGGATGTTGCCTTTGCTTATACAAAAATAGGAAGATACCAAACAGAACATTGCTTTTCAAATGCTGCCACAGAGGAAACTACTCTCCCTTTTCTGTTTTTGCAAAGGATAACTGTGCAAATACATGCTGATGTAAGAAAATGCAGCTGTAGCAGAGAGAGGAAGTCTAATATACCAATCCAAAAAGCTTTTGTAATAGCAGCCCAAACACATGTCTGACTGAGCATAGGGTAGAATTTTCTCATGGTTCCAGGAACCAGTTTGTACCTGTTCCCATTCTGCTGTTTCCTAAGTAGCTGGACTGCAATTAATACCAGCATGCCTAATTTGTACAATTATGTGACCCACACCTCATGGGTAGATGTGCCCTAGATGAGACCTTCCTAACCAAATGACATAATATTTACTGAAAGTACTCATCTCTCATTTTTATTCATTTTTTCCCAAATTCTTGCAATTCACCATGCTGTTTAATTATTGTGGAGGGAGAGAAGAAACAGCTGCAAGACACCACCAGCTGAGACTGCTTCAGAAAATTTCCTACTCATCCCAGTTCTTGTTCTTTCTATTAAGCTTAATCACACTAATTTTGATAGAGGAAATTATTAACTCCAAGAACTGTTCTCTGGGTCAGCCCATGTTGTATAACATGCCACCCTGAATGACTAGCACAAGACAACCTAGCAGAGAGATGACACATCCTGGGTAAAGCACCACCCAAAATTCCAGATTCCTACTGATTGTTAACTGTTTTCCTATAACTCAGAGTAAGAGGTTTCATAAACTACAACATTTTGTGGACATAATTCACCAGGTGTAAAACATACAAAACAACAGCTTAAGTGAAAATCCATTAAATATATACAGAATCATGTACCAATAGTCTGGTACACACGTGGCACAAATGGGGCAATTATTCCTCCCCAGCAATACAAGCAAGTGCATATTTCTGAAGGCTGAGCAGAAATTCAGCTATGTGAACTAGTTTTTGAGGCAATATGCTAAACAACAGTCTGAAGTTATAATACCCTACTGAGAAATGCAGGATTCCTACCAGTATTTTAGCCAATATGCCATCATCACTTGATTCCATGGTAACCACTGCTTTGTCCGTTTCAATTTCACACAATGCATCTCCAACATTCACTGTGTCACCTGCAAAATACAACAGAACTTAAGAATACTTACCCTAAACTTCCTTTCAGATTTGTTTAACCATAGAAGATAGATTTTCACCAGAGAATACAGTTATTTTGTATTCCTTAATAAATTTTATAGCTAGTTGATCCCCCATCATTATTTATCATATTGTATCTTTCCTTTCCAAATAACATCACCAAGATTCAAGAATCACAAGCTGCTGTGACAGAACACTGACATGTTCCCAGTACTGATGTTTTCAGCAGACTTTCCAAGGGGAAGTACAATCTTTTCAATAAGCAATCATCACCCCAAAATTTATTTTCACAACCCCATACACTGCCATGAATAAAATACTGAGCCTTCCATAATCACTGCTAGCCACCAGGCAGAGCAAGCTATCTAAAACTGCTTAGGACAATGGTATCATAGTTCAGTAACTGGTGTCTACACTATTAAAGAAATTCAAATAAACTTCAGGAATTTTAATGTCTTTGGGAAAGCACAGCTGGAAGCTTGCTTGATCTCCTATACAGTTCAGAAAGGTCTTTTCAAGCATTCATTCATACTTACTAAGTGAAATAAAAATATGCACAAGTGCTAGAAATTGCCTTTGCTACATTACACAAATCCAAGATTAATTCTGAAGCATACTTTTCCTCTGCTTTTGAAGAATATCTGTATCTGCTAGCAGATGATAAAGATATTATGTGTCTGGATTATTTCAACAAATCAATACTGACTAGATGTCCAACACTAAAACTGATATTACATTAAAAACTGTTAGGTAGTTGAATGTTTTGGCTTCCAACAAAAACCAGCTTTTTTTCCTTATAGAGACATACAAGCCTAAAACATGCCTACAGTTCCACATAAAGTAAAATTCTAATATTTCTCCATTACCAGAAACACTACAACAGCATTACCTGTCTAAGCATTTAGCTGAACTACAGATATCACTCCATTGTGCTTAAGGAGCAGAATTAAAACCTAGTGCAGGTTACCACCTACACTTAGGTAAGAAACAACACTATAAAAAAAAAAACATCTCCTGTTTCAGGACTTCATGAATCAGAAAGGGAAAATGAGGTGTTGTACCTCATTTGTGTTGAATAAAAACATCAAAAGCTCAGTTATCTACATTGTTTTATAAGTCATAAACATTCCTATTACAGAAATTGGTAGAGAAATACACTTCATCTTTTTAATGTAATAATCTAACAGCCACATTCCACTTTGCAATAACTAGAGCATGAACAGTTTATAAGAGGAAGTCAAAACTCTAGGCTCTATACAAGTGTTTTAATTTCACTGGATCATTAATTTAAGTAGGCCATATATCAGATCATTAGGCAAGTACTTCTCAGTTGTTAAGAAATCAAATTGTTGGGCAAATTCTCTAATTTACAGAGCTAAGATTGGCAAGCAGAAAGAAGTTAACGCCGTATCTTAATTTGCCATCAGACTCTAAGTGTTCTGCACCATTAAAAAGAAATCTCAGTGCTCAGAGACCAACAGCAGCACCTCCAGCAGGGTGGGCCAGCCAAGCAAATACCTTCATCCATGTGTTTGTCACATGTCACACCTCAACTTGGGTACCTGAAGCTGTTCCCAGAAAACTAACTTCATCTTGCACAGGGAGGGCAAGGAAGTCTTCAGAGGACTGGATAAACCACTTTTCCACTATCTTTTTTTTTCATTTTCCTTTCATTGCTGCAGACAAAGTTACCACAAAATTGAAAGACAATTGAATAAATGCAGGGTAAGAATCCACTTCAGTGCAGCATTCAAGTCCTGTGCCTGTTTCAGTACCCAAGTGCAATAGATAGGATCACAGTTACTTTCATTAGAGATTACAATATTTGTGATAGCTCCTAATCAATGCTCAGGTTGATGTCAATTACAAATCAGCTTTCCCAATAATTAGGAGTTGAAAGAACACTTTTGCAAACCATATCTTTGCTTTTACACTTTAAACCAAGCAGTATTTGCAACAGAAGTTGCCTGAAACAAGGCTCTCTGAAATTATATATATAATGCCCTTGAAAAATTTTGTGTGGGGTTCAGGTTTTCTGTTTATTTGGTTTTTGGGGGTTTTTTGTTTCTTAATTTGTTTTTAATCATTAAATTCCCATAGCTAAGCTGAATGGTTAGGATCTCTACTGAAGCAGAGTTTCCTTCCAGGAGATCCAATTGGCATCCAGTAGCCTTGGTGCTCTGTTGAACTACTGACAGACAAGTATCCAAATCACAAGATACAAACAGCATTTCTTAATGTTGCAAATAAAATCAGAGTTGACTGAACACAGATACTGAAGTCCCTGGAGCTGATGTCTCAAAAGGTAGCAGAGCTGCACTGCATGTGGATGCTGCCAGCACTGTTGTATATTCTGTTTTCTGCCCACATTAACAAGAGGATTTTGGTCTCCTGGGCTGTCAGTCTACCAGCCTTCATCAGCGTTAAATTCATACATAATAAATACAAGTTTTTAAAAACATAGTTTTATCATTGTGAGAATGACTTTATTACCCACAGGAATCAACATGAAACTGCATTAACAATGAGGAGGAAAAGTAAAGCTATCAATTAAATTCAGTGCCCTCCCTTCTGTAGTAGTGAAATTATCTGTCCATCCTGTGAAACCACGAAATGAAAACATTTGAGACTTACACAAAGAACAGAAAGACTACCAACATAGTATTATACTGACCCCTTCTGGTTATACAGTGGGAAAAACATTTTGTATGCGAGCAGCTTGCTTCTGTCAACTGCTTAAAAATATTTATTTTCTTGGACATCAAGAAACAATCAAACAATCAAACATTCATAGTCAGCATTAGCACTGCTTTTACATGGCAAACACTCTAGAGAATTAAGTAGTTAAGAGCATTCCTTAAATGTAAACATTAAATCACTATTTTCTTCAAAATTCATCTTAATTATGTCTTTATGTTTATTCTCTAGACTGTTAGAGGAAACAAAAGTATTGATAGGAATTAATTATGGTCATAGATGTGGCCACTAAGACAAAATACTGTATTTGGGTTTGGTCTTCTTTCTAAATAGAAAATCAAGCAATAAAAATACTAACATAGTTTTCTTTCAAAGTCTAAGAATCAATTAAGACTTGGTTGCAATTTAATTAAAATAGGTGTGAAGCTGTTTTGTCTTTTGTGTTAGGGTGGAAGGCTAGTGGAAAGACTGAGAAAAAAATTGTAAAGCTTTTACATTGTAACACTTTTTTATGAGGAGAGTGGACTCATTCATGTTGGGAGCAAACTGCAATTTACTTCAACTCCTGCCATGCTTTCTCTTTGTTTTCTCTTGCAATTTTGAATGCTATAATTACTGTAAAACAAGTTACTGTTGATATTTAAATTTTACAACTATTGACAACTAACAAATATAAAAAGGACTTTGGATCATTCTTTCCTCTCTGCATCATCTTAGACTTTATTAACTAAAGCTTCAAGTTTCAAGAACACTGGTGCAATTTTTTTTATTGACATAAACTTCTGAATTGTTCCCAGTAAATTCTGCAAAACTCTTACTAAAAGTTTCATGAGCAAAAGGCCAAGTCCACTACTGGAGCAAGAAGCTGTCTTCCAGCCACCTCTCAAAAGGTATTCAAAATGTAGGAAAGCAAAGCTCTCCAGTAACACAACAATGGGAGCTGTATCAACACTTACAAGGATAAGCCAAAGGAAAAGGTTTATCTAGGCACAATAGTCAAAACATGTTTAGCTATCCAAATTGTGTCTGTCAAAGATAATAAGCTTTAACATATTTTCTTTTCTCCAGATGTATTCGTCTTTTCAGGAAATCTAAAAATGCCTGTGAACAAGATATATTCCTACTGCTATCCAAAAGCCTACAATGCACAATGAACAATACCTATCTGGAATCCAAAACTCCAGTCAAAATTCAGGTTTAATACTAAATTGAAGAAGGGACAGGGCAGGAGTAAACAGGACAAAGGTCTCCTGACAGAACAGGAACTGCTGATTCTTCTACAGATCATTTTTCATTTACATACAACCTACGTGAAGGCAAAACTTGACTTTTATCCAGACTTTTTATCCAGTTGCTCCAAACTATTTTAGCAGAAGCACATAGTTGTCAGAGCACAAAGTTCAGGCTTTTTTTGGATGAGGAGGTTGGTTTTCAGTTGGGGTTCTTTTAGGAAAAATTTCCCCATTTCGTATTAGGGTTATGAAAGGAATCTCAATTTCCCTCAATTTTAACTGTAGACTATAATTAAGATATTAGAAAAGATATTCCAAAAATAGCATATCTTTCATGGTATTCCATAACACAGCAGAATAATGAAAGAGACCCTCCCCAAAGTCAATGGCTCTCAGATTTCCAAAGCTACTGAGCAGCATGACAAAACTGGGAAGTAAAAGCAGCACACACACACTCACACCCTGGAGGAGCCTAATGGAAATTTTTCAAAAATATGATCAATGCAACCTTTTGGAAGACAATGAAGCAAAAAAACATTTAAAGAATGAACAATTTCAAAGCAGGTATAGTTCATGATGACAGGATCCCCACACCAAATACTTTGCTTCAAAATACTGATCTATACTATAGATCACTATACTTATCTATAACCAGGAAGAATTATCTTATTTTATTTTTTATTTCTCTTATTTTTGTCTTCTTTATTAAGAATTATCTTACTTTTACAGAGTAGATTTACATAGCTGAAAAATTACAAAGAAATGTGACCACAGAAAATGCTATCTTACCTTCCTTTTTTAACCATTTCACGATGTTTCCTTCTTCCATTGTTGGAGAAAGTGCAGGCATAAGAACTTTGATACCAGGTGTACCTGCAAAACAAGCATGTGGTTATCTCAACAGGTACTTTTTCAGTATAATTCTTTCCTCAGTTAACTGCTTAACACAAAAGAAATTAAAAGTGCATGAATCTGAAAGATAATTGAACAAAAGATTCGCTATGATGCTCTTTTTAAGCTTACATACAAGCAAGCCCACCAAAGAGCTCAAAGAAAAAAAGGCACATTACAAGAGAAATTGGAATTCACAAACCCTGAATTCCTAGACCTGAAGTTTTGTTGATCACATCAAAATACATCCTCCGTCTCCTGTCATCCTTCTCCTCCTTGACTCAGGCTGTGGAATTTTTTCCAGATTAAAGCATATCTTTTAAATTAATAAAGCCTTTGTGATCCTTGTATTGTGGATGCTGATGACACATCTCTTTCACTGATGAAGTTTGTTAATGCTTATTTATCCTTTTTACTATAAAACTATATCTACTTTGCAGAAATTGCTTGATTTCAAGTTTCAGTGATTTTGTCTTGGCTCAGTAAACTCATTTGCAGAAGCAGCACTGTGTAACAGCAACTGTGTGCCATGTTAGTGGGATTCTTCTGAGGGCAGAGCTCAGGATACAGCACAGAGCTTGGCTTCACAGCAAATTACACCTCTTGTCACCTGATCCTCTACACCAAAGAGGACATTAATATAAGAGATACTACCTTTCTGAACTTTTAAATATACTTATGAGACCAAAAAAAAAGCATCTTTCTAGATCCATTTTGTAAAAGCAGCTTTCCAGTGCCTGACTTTTGAGGCTCTTTCTTGAACTATTATGTCTGAATTTGTGTTCAGTTACAGAACAGAAATAGACACATAGAAGGTACATTGTATACAATGGCAAGGCTTATTTCTGCTTCATATTCGCTTTTCTTTAATACCCAGCATTGAGGATTGTTATCATTCTATAGGAAACAACACCACATTTCTCCTAGTTGCTGTATTGCTTGGAGTAGTCAGAAACAGCTAAAAAAAAACAACTTAGAAATTAATAATTTTTCAGGTTTTTCCTTATTATCTGCTTTTCAGCTCAAAATTCTTCTAGGTTGTTTTTTTTTTCCTTGCCCCTTTTTTTCCAAAAGCTGTGCTAAGGCACATGGAGAACAGGGAGGTGATTCAGGACAGCCAAAACAGCTTCACTAAGGGCAAGTCCTGCCTGACCAAACTAGCAGCTTCATAGGATAGAATGACTGCACCGGTGCACAAAGAAGGGCTATGGATGTCACCTCTCTGGACCTACAGCACTGCTCTCTGTAGATTGATGAAATAAGGATTTGATGGGTGGACTGTTCTGTGGGTGAGGAATGGGTTGGATCTACAGGGTAGTGGTCATCATCTCAATGGCCCCATGGACACTGGTGACAAATCTGTTAAAGGTGCTGGCACATGAAAAGCTGTGATGTGGCAGGTTGTGGTTCACAGCCCAGAAGGCAAATATAGCCTGGGACACAAAAATCAGTGTGGCCAGCAGGTCAAGGGCAGTGGTTCTGCCTCTCTGGTCTGCTCTGGTGAGATCCCACCTGGGGAAATGCATCCAGCTCCTGAATCCTCAGCACAGGAAAGGCATGGATGTGTTGGAGGGGGTCTAGAGGACAGCCACAAAAATGATGAGGGAGGAAGCCCCTCTTATATGCAGAAACATCAAGAGAGTCAAGGTTGTTCAGTCTGGAGAAGAGAAGGTTCCAGGGAGACCTTACTGCAATCTTTCAATAGTTACTAAAGGGGCTTTTAAGACAGATGGGGACAGACTTCTTAATTGGGCCCACAGCAATGGAGCAAGGGGTAGTGGCTTGAATTTTAGACTGGCTGTAAGGAAGATTTTTACAGTGACAGAGATGAAACATAGAAACAGGCTGCCCAGAGTGGTGGTGGATGCCCCATCACTGGGAGGCTGGAGGGAGTTCTGAGCATCCTGTTCTATTTGAAATGCCCCTGCTCATTGCAGGGGAGATGGACTAGATGAACGTTAAAGGTCTCTTCCAATCCAAACCCCTCCATAATTTTTCACAAATGTGACATGGAAACATTGTAGCAAACCTCTAATGACCTAAGCAGCCATCAACGATCCTGACATTTTAAAATGCACCAAGAGCAGAAAGTTAGTTATTCCCTAAAGTCCCCAAGACAGCAACACAATCAGGATAATGCTAGAAAAACCACTTGAGTTTTGTGGAAATGAGCTCAATTGCATGGTTGATGTTCCCAGAAGACTGCATGAGTAAATGCACTTTTTTTTTTCCTCAGTCTTTCCACAGTAATTTCAGTTTAATATTACTCATGACTGTCATGCTTAGAAATTTATCCAGACAATGTTCCTTGTAACACTCACAATTTCCATCTGAATTACCTCCATGCACTTTTTAAAAAAAGTTTCCTGCAATTTCTCATCTAGGACTAACAAACAGAAAAATGAACTGTGTTATGTATGTGAATGCATGCCTGTGCTCATTTCCCAAATAAACTTTTGTAGTATTTGAAGTATGATTGACAAATTAAAGTATGAGTTAACAATTGTCTTGTACTATACATATTTACCCAAAAATAATATTTCTCAATAACAGCAAGTAGGAAACATTATACATTACATGATACATTATAGGATGCAAAGCGTTCTCAGTTTCATTAGTCTAGTTCAACTTGACAAGTCTGACTCCGACAATCAAAACATTATTTTGAAGTCATATCCCACAAATATCTAGGTTTATTGAGAACTAGTGGACAGATCTTATTTTAAAAAGTGAAAATAATCCACATTTTTAATGAGGAAAAATTAATTTTTAAAAACAGTGGTTCACATTTCTCTTGCATGAAGAGCTACTTGATTCATTTCCCAGAATATGCTTTATACTTTGGCACAAAAACTGAGCAACAAATTTGTGCCACAATAACATTTTCCCTTCAATGTTATGAGCAAGTACCACAAAATACACAATCCATTCTGGTCCTTTCATCGAGTTAGGAGGGGAACTCCAGCAGTGCCTAGCCATGAAATGGACAAATAAATAAAGCTGGACACAAAGCAGAAGACAGGACCTTGCGCACCCATCTAATGCTCATGTCCGGAGAGGCCCATGCTCAGAGAAGTTCAGTGCTGTTGCAATTGAGAGCCTTGTTCAGCATGAGATACACGAGAACACCAGCCACAACAAGAGTGTTTCAAAGCTGTTTTAGTTACTTTTGAGTTAATGACCACACACAAACAGGCTTCACTGTGTCTCCTCAAAGAAAAGCAACCTTACAATGTAGAATTACCGTCACCAAATATTATTTGCCTTCATTAAATTAAACAAGGGGATAGTGAAAGCAATCACTGCATTTACATAAGTTAGTTGCACTGTACAGGCAGCCCTTACAAGCACCTTGGGAAGTAAATATTGCTGCTTTGCAACTGTGGGTCAGCAAAAAGTCCTGGCAATTTGCACAGAATCTCAAAGGCTAAGCTCATGGGCAGATCAGAATTTAGAAACATAAGCAAATAAAACTTCTGAACTTCCAGTCACCACCCACTGATTTTTACTTCTATCAACAGCAGCTGTGGTATTACACTTCAAAAATGTGAATATAAAAGGAGGAAGACTCAAAAAGAACCCAAACAAACTTCACAGAAACAGGAGATCGCTATTTTAAAGACAGCTCTCTGTGCATCCAGGAGATTTTGTTTTCCTGGTGACACATTTTAACTGTGGAGTCTGGCAACATTTCAGCTGCCTTCCCTCTCCATGAAGGCATTCAATGCAAATTTAACCTGTCCCACCAGAAAGATATTTCATAACTTCCTACACACACTCTGCAGTCAGTAGAGAATTGAAAAATGTACAGCAACTTAACACCAATGATAAGGTTATGAAACATTAAAAACAAAGAAAAATTGACAGACTTTAACATAAAGAGGTCACGCTATTCTATTCTATCTTTTCTTTTTCCTATTTCTCTGTGACCAGCAACTAGGAATTACATTCTGAATTAATTGTTTTAATTATGCAAAACAACTTTTCCTTTACCAGCACCACAAACAAAGACAGAAACATAGAAAGAAAAACAATCATGTGACTTGAAAAACTAAATCCACAGGAACCAATACTTCAAATAGTGGCTTTTTCAGAAACAGAAAAGCAGAGAAATAAAAGCAATGCTAAAAAAAAATTTACTTAAACTTACATTGTCAAACTAGGAACCAAGGGTGAATTTTATGCCCAAATGAGCTGTATTTTACCAGGGAATTTGACTTCTCATCTTTAATTTTAGATGCAACAATGAAGTTAAGAAAAATGGTATCACTAAAATACACACCACCTTGGAAAGCTGTAAGTACACTAAGTGGGGCTGAATGAGGAAAGCCTGAATGAGTTAAAGGTGTGATCTACCCACCCTAACACTTTAAAGCTTACTGTAAGGAATTAAAAGATATTAGTCACTTGCCTATCCAAATTTAGAAATTTAATTCCCACTATATATTAAGTATTCTCAACATAAAAAACACAACAGATTGTCTGGGAGAACTGTAGACAAAGTTCTTTAAGGAGTTAAATAATAAGACCAATTCAGAAGTAGCTTATCGTGCATTATATTATATTTGCACACTATTATATGTAGAAAGAAACAAGCTTTTTCTAATAACATTTATTTCAAGAAAGGGACAGACTTCCCTGTATCACACACAGCAGGTTTTACAAAGGAAAAGATTTTCATACTACAAAGTAGCAAAGGCAACAGTGCTGGAAAGAAGGGGATGTTGAGGTCTAAACCACAATGATGAAAGTGGCTCTGAACTACTACTGAGTTTTATTACACAAGTTTAATGAAAGCTCACTGTTTTGTAAGTGCACTTAAACCTCAGAGTTCAGGTTCTTCATGCTCAGCATCACACCAGGACCTCATGACAATGCACTTGATCACTGTTCAAATGTTTACAAGTTGTAACTTACAGAGCAAGTAGGGAAAGATCAAATTTCATTTAAGGATGTGTAACTCTTCCCACATCTCTTAGAGACAGAAGAAAACATGGAAGGGTAAATGATCTGCCTGATATCCTGAAAAAAACATCTTGAAAGGGTGTTGTCATAACCTCACGCTTTGACTTCTATGTAGGAAAGGATGCCAGACAAGCAATTAATAAATTCTGGTTTTCCCTTAAAAAACCAAATAGAATTGCATAAAAAATACATCACACACCCTTCTCCAGTTACCTGAAACATTACCAGGAGGGTAAGATGACAAAAATGTAGTGGAATTACCAAATATGGACCAAAACAACCAAATAGAAAAAACTTTCTTTTTCAGTGCTTAGCTATACATCCACTTAGAAAACACACTCCTGTTTCCAATGGTGAGAACCTTTTCCTTACTCACAACAAAATATTTTCATATTTGAAGGCTTAATTTTATTTTCCTCTGTAGATTTCACTTTCTTCCTTTTCTAGACCTTTAACAATTCTCACATGTCTCTCCGAGTTCTCCTACCAGCCCATCTCCTACACATCCCGATGTGCTTTCAGTCCCTCCAGAGACCGAGGCAAACACAGCCCCATACCGGGCTGCTCACCCAGCTCCCGGGGCTCCTGCCCAGCTGTGCCCAGCACACCGCGGGCCCTGCTCGCCTCCCCACCCCGGGAACCCCCCGGGCACCGCAGCTGCCCGTGCCCCTGCCCAGCTCGCGGAGGGCTGTGGCACACGGGAGGGAGCCCATGCTGGTGCAGCACACGGGAGGGAGCCCACGCTGGAGCAGCACACGGAGGGCTGTGGCACACGGGAGGGAGCCCATACTGGAACAGGGCAGGGGCTCCGGCTCCGCTTCCCGAGCAGCGGCACTACAAGCACGGGATGAAGTGACCGCAACCCTCGTTCCCGTCTCCATGCGCAGCCAGAAGGGAGGAGGCAGGGCAGGGTGAAGGAAAGGTGTTTTGGGTTTTTCTTCCCCCCTTTGCATTATCCTGCTCTGATTCTGATTGGCAGTAAACTCAATATCCCCAAATCGAGTCTGCTCTACCCACGACAGTCATGGAGTAGTGGTGTCTCGCTGTCCTTATCTCAGCACTGAACCTCCTGCTGTATTTTCTCTCCTGCCCATTTGCGGAGGGGAGCTGTAGAGGAGCTCCGCTGAGCGCCTGACATCCAGTCAGGGTCAACCCGCCGCAGCCACCCGCTCTCAATCTTCTCTCCTCGCAGACACACCCAGAGCAGGGCACCAGCCCGCCACTCACCCAGCAGCTCCCAGGTGCCGTGCAGGTGCCTCCATCCTGGCCGGGCGGGCAGGGAGAGCCCCGCGCCCAGCGCCGAGCGCCCGGCCCGCAGCAGCCGCAGCAGCCGCTCCCCACCGCCGCTCAGCCACAGGGACGCCGCCATCTTCCCCCGCCCCCCGACCGCGCTGGGGCTGCCCCGCTGCCTGCCTGAGCAGAAATAACCGGGCACGCCCCCGGCGCCGGGGGGCGGCCTCAGGGAGCCCCCGTGCCCCGCCCGCGGCACCTGCCGTGGCATTGGCCGCCTCGATCGCCCCAGGCACGGGCAAATTCAATCGCGCAGACACCCGCGCCCAGCCTGGCAGGTCGTCCCCGGGGCGCACCCGCCTCTCCTCTGGTCCCTGCGGGCTCCCGGCCCGGGAGGAGACCAGCGGCCTCTCCATCCCGCCCGCCGCGGCTCGGCTCGCTGCCCGCGGCCGGGCCATGCCCAGCGCTCCGCAGGCGCCCGCGCGGCGCCCCAAAGAGGCCCCCGAGCAAGGACCCCGCGCTGGCCGCGCCATGGCGGCCGCCGGCGGGGACGCGGCGCAGGTAACGGGGCCGGGGGGCGGCGGGGCCGCGCCACCGCTCCGAGAGCCCCGGCAGCGCGGGGCTGGGCCGCTCCTGAACCTCGCCAACTGGCCAGCAGCCTCGCAGCTGCTGATTAGGAGGGAGCCCCTGGGAGTACTGGTGGATGGCAGGCTGACTGTGAGCTGGCAGCGTGCCCTGGCGGCCGGGAGGAAATTCAGGCAGCGAGATCCAGGCGGAGCCAGTGTCCAGCACTCCAGGAGCAGTGATCATAAGCTAAAACACGAGTTCCACCTCAACGCGGCCATGAGCTTCTTTACGCTGAGGCTGGCAGAGCTCTGAATAGGCTGCCCAAGGGAGTCGGGGAGTCTTCCTCCCTGGAAACATTCAAAAGCCAGCTGGTGCTTTCCTGTGTCACCTGCCTTGGCACGGGGATTGCACTGAATTGTCTCCAGAAGTCTCTTCCAACTCTGGCTATTCTGTCCACCTATATAAACGTGTTGTAAAATTTAGTCCAATTTCCAGAATGTTGCCTGCTGTCAGACTGGCGTCTACAGGACTCATGGCTCTTTTTATGTTAACTGGAGTTGTTTAGGTTTGTTTTGTGATTTGGTTTTCTTCTGGTTTTTTTGAACTGGCCTTTGATTGGGGTTTTATGTATCATCACAACCAGAACATGAGCTGACAGTGCTGTGTTTCATCAAACACTGAGCATAAGGAGGCATTGCCTGGACAAGGCTCAGACACCTCTCCAGTTTGTGTGTGACACTGGTGGAGAGACCAGCCCAAGCTTCAAAACCAGCCAGAACTGACAGCAGGGAGATGAGAGGTATCAGCAGCCTAGATAATGTGGCCTGACAGGAAAGTGGGAAAGAATCCAGTTCATTATAAACAAAACAAAGCAAAAAAAAGGCAGCAGACTGAGTTGTTGTAATACATGAAACATTGTCGCGGTGTAGGTGAGAGGGAAGACCATCTCCTGCATGTCCACCATCCTTGGTGAGAGAGAGCAAATCTCACTGTCACTGCAGGTTGTAAAGATGAGGTTGGAGTAGGAGATTCCAAACATTGTCAAACGTGCCCCAGGCTGCCATCTCCAGGAATTCACCTTCCCACTCTCCACTGCCTCTGCCTCGTGCTCCTGTTCCATCCCCACCCTTAGCTGTGCAAGTCCAACTCCACCTGGAAGCATTTCTTTCTAAACATCTCAGCAGAGGTATTGGCATCAATAACCACTGCCTGCCGTTTTTGCTGCGTGCCGCTTTTGCTTTGGGTCACTCTATTCTGTTGGTGTTGACAAAATACTCCCCCCCAAGGTGGATTCTTGCTACTAAACAAAATATTTTTCTTGGAAATGGTTTTGATGGGCATTAATGACCGAGATGAGTAGTAGAGCAGCTAACCATTTGTCATTTTAGAAAACTTTTAAAGCTTCTAGTTGCTGCAATAGAAAAAAAAGAATCCTACATAAAAGCACACCATAAAAGCAGCTGTTTAACTGTGGTAATGTAGGTAGAAACCTTATCTCTGACAGCAGAGATACCTTTGGTTAATATATAGATATGGATATTAATGTAATAAAAAATGGAATATGGAAAAAATACAAGATGGGGGTTTTTTCCTCCTAAAGAAATAATAAAATAATGCTGTTTTCTTTCTGACTAAACTGCATCTAAAGTAACTTTGTGTAGTAAAAATGTAGGAATGTAAAGTTCATAAAATAATTTGCATGTATTTTCTGTGGTATTTTTGAGTGCTGTTTAAAAATGTGTATTGACTAATAGAGTCTGTTCTACTGAAATTTGCAAATCAAGCAAAGTAAACCTACAGAAAAACTGATTTAATATGAAAACTATTAGCCAAGGTTTTAAATATTGGCAATGTTAGATGCATTTATTTTCCCTTCTTTTTGTGCAATAGTCCATAATATAATCCTGCTGGTATAATATCTATGGGCCACTGCACTCAAATAAATTTTAGGTGAGACCTTTCCTGTGAAGGATAGTCAGACTTGTACCTTATTTGAGGTTTTGTTTGTTTCAAGGTGTGATGTCCCTGGCAGAGCATTAAGGGCATTGTGTAAACATGCAGTTATTTTGTAATTGAAATTCATTAGCATAAATTAGACCATTTTGCTGCAGTATGAAAGTACTAATCCTTTAAACTCAGTTTGAGAGCTTGAAATCTTAGGTGTGAGGTGTTTCTGATGGTTTCTCATTTATTATTTTTTTTCTTTTTAGGATGGATTACATCCAAGGAATCTTATCCCAGAGCTTTGTAGACTGTTTTATGGTTTAGGCTGGGTAACAGGAACTGGTGGAGGAATCAGCTTGAAACATGGGTAAGTGATGATGAGAGACAACGTGGTGGTGAGAGAGAGGTGGCTGTGTTTAGTACTTGGTCAGGGCTTTTCAGCTCCATGAGAAATGTTTGCAAGTTGGGAGTGGGCAAGAAGTTAGAGGGGGAAATGAGCAGTGTGCCAAAATTAACCATATAGGGGGAAGGTGAATAGTCTGAATTAATCATTGCAGTCCCTTCAATGGGAAGAGACAATGTCAGAGAGTGACCTTATCCTGTCCTTTTCCTACCTTTTTTTAAGGTAGATGAATTGCCTTTAAAGAACAACGTGTTCCCCCTTTTTCACTTCACTGACTATGGAATTGAGTGGGTTACATCAGGCACACGGCTTTCAAATGCCTGTGGTTAAATAAGATCAGTCTCACCCTGGATGTATTTCACAGGCCAGATATTTCCTCTCAGAAGGAAATTGCTGTTCCACTGAGGTAATTTCTGAGGAGACAAATACTTTACGTATAATTAAAGCACGACAGGTAACAACAACTTTTGGTCTGTGTCTCCTATGAAGAAGCACCACTTTGTGTTTTAATTTGCCTGTCTCCCACCTCTTCATAATCTCCAATCCTTTTAGTGGGAACAGAGCTCCTCTCAGTGGCCACTGAAAAGAAGTCCTCATTCTGCAAAGAGCCTTGCACAGTGCCTGCAGTTCTGTGCCCAGTCACAAGGTTGTGACACAGTCTTGAGAGGGTCTGACCTCTCATTTTCTGGTATACACTTGCATGCATACACAAACAGCATTGCTATTCAAAAATCTATTATATGTGTGTGTATATATATGTGTGTGTGTGTATATATATATATATGTATATGAATAAAGGACCCTAAATGCTCATATTGATGCTGTTTGGACTTTGTGCAGGTCATTTCAACTCCCTGGTTGATTTTGCATGGAAAGCCACAACAGTAATAATGAATGAAAATGGTAAATTCTGTGGGAAGACCTTTCTAGCACTGATTTGTCATCAGTACCTAAATGTAGCCTATTTTCTTTGTCATTCCAGTGCAACTCCTGTTGGTTTTGGCAAGACAACTGGCATTATCAGAGAATGCATTAATATAGTTTTCCTTAGTAGTTCTATAGCTTGTTTACTTGGCATTGTTAGAAAGGAAAATGTAAAGGAGCAGTTGAAATTTGATTCAAATATAACAACTGTTTTTACCAGGTAATCTTAATCACCCTTACTCACTGTGCAGTTCATATCAACTATCAAGGAAAACAAATGCCAATTTGGACTTGGCATAGCATGTTTAAAATGGATGTAGAATTCTTTGTGAGGTATCTTGTCTTTGAAGACTTTATTTTATCATCAGATTTTTCTCTTTCTGGTTAAGTTCTAAAAAATAAAAAAATCTGGTTTAAGAAAAATTGTGTGTCTGTCATAAGTAACTGAGTTTACCACTTAATTTCTTATCTTGCTCATACAAATGAATCAAGACTAAATTAATGCAATGCCAGCAGTGCTAATTCATGTATGTCAAAAACTATAAATATGATAAAGCCACATTTTTCTGTGCTTCACAGACATTTTACCACTATGAATAGTATATCATCTTAAGAGTTTTATTTTTGGAAGAATTAAAATCATAGAATTGTTTAGATTGGTAAAAATCCTTATATCATTGAGTGTCCAACCATAAACATACCACTGCCAAGTTCTCCACTAAACCACATTCCTAAGCACCATGCCTAAAGGTCTTCTGAAAACTTCCAGAGATGGTGAGCCACCTGCTTTCCTGGGCAGCCCATTCCAATGCTTGCTAACCCTTTCAGTGAAGAAATTTTTCCTGATATCCAATTTAAACCTCTCCTTATGTAAATTCCTCTTGTCCTGTCACTGGTTACCTGGTAGCAGAGACCAACCTCACCTGACTACAGCCTCCTTTCAGGCAGTTGTAGAGAACAGTGAGGTCACCCCTGAGCCTCCTTTTCTCCAGGCTAAACACCCCCAGCTCCCTCAGCTGCTCCTCACAAGACTTGTGCTCCAGACCCTTCTCCAGAACTACAAAGATCCCATGGTCTATAGGAAACGTGTCTGTAACTTGACTAATTATTCACTAGATGTCTCTGTGCTCCTGAATTTAATACGTGACTGCTGAAGTCAAATAGTGGTTGCAGTTCAGAGAGAGAATATAGTTGGGGTTTTTGTGTTACTAATGAAAAGAATGCAGTGCCATCTTGAAATCATTTTAGTTTCAGTTTTTACGGTTTTTTGTTCATGTAGTCCTTGCAAGAAGTGATGCACTTCTTAAATTTCAGTAATTTAATTACACTGAATTAGTGCTATCTGTTTATCAACACAACTAAACATGGAACTGCACTAGAAACCTAACCTGCACACTTTAAAAAAATGTATTTACAATGTTGAATGTTGCAGATAATTGTTACTGTTTAAAGATAGTTTATGGAGTTTTATGTAATGGTTTTGTCACCTGCCATGTCACAGATCAGTATCTGTTTGCAATTTCTAATTTAATTTTTATTTTGAATTCTAAGAATTTGAGTTTGAGTTACTGCAGGGAGAGGCTGTTTTTCTTTGTTGGAAAAATAAAGCTGCGCTTCTTACTTGTGTTTCGGATATCTGTCAAATTGAAAGCAGGGTTTTGTACCCCTGCAAATTAAAGGTTTTATTTGCCCTTCTGCAATTTGGTTCTATTTTGAAAACTATCTACCTGTAAATGTATGGAAAGAATAAGAAAGTTTTTTAATTGTGAGGGTCTAGATTTGTTATTTCCTTTTCAGTGGCTCAAAAGCTCGAATGCCTATCTGGTGGAACAGTCATTGCTCAGCTGTGTTTACTGATTTTTCTCATCTGCAACTTTTCCTAGGGATGAAATCTACATTGCTCCTTCAGGAGTCCAAAAGGAAAGAATACAGGTGTGTTAAACTGCTTTTACCTCAGAGCTCATCTTGAGATGGATGAAAGTGCCTTTGTTTAGTTTCATTTTTCCTTATGTGAAGTTACAAACCTGTTATACATTTGAAACAACTGCTGATTTCTCCCAGTACTCCACTATCATAGCAAGCCAGTATGTGTTTCAGTGGCCAGTGTAGATTAGTCTTGATGTTCTCCTTGCTTTAAATTAACACAAAGCAGCATGAGAGTGGAGAATTACTCCAGTCCAGCTTTATTCTTTGTCAGGCTTGGTTGGCTAGACCTGTCTGGCTACAGTTTCAAGTTACCCGTGTAAATAGACATTAACACCTCATTGCTGTTTATTTTCATTTGAGTGATTGCAAATATTTGTCTTGATATTCTCAGTAAATAACTGGGCTCTCCCCATGAAAAGGTGACCTTGTCTCTCTCTCTGCTTTCCAAAAAAACCCAAAATGTAAGAGGAGGGGGGAATGCTGTACAATACCTATTTTATGACAGCAGGAACTCCCCCAGAATAGAGTAATACATGGAAAGGATTTGTCAGCTCATAAATCTGAGGATAAATACAGTGAGGAGGGAAAGGAATTTCTTCTCTGTTAGAAACTTGGGGTCTTAGAGCAGTGTTTGCTGGGGATGTACAGAAGTAAGGCAGGCAAAGGTATGAGAGACAACCACAATGCTCTGGTCTGTGCTCACAGTAACAGATGATTAAGCACAGTCAGTGAGGAAATCTCCTGTAATTGTATTTTCTGCTGATTTTTAAAATAACATTAAAATTTTATTACTGTCCTGAGCAATTCTTTGTACTATTATGAATAGCTAATTGATGAAAAGGTAACAATTATGTAAAGCTACTAATAGCAAAGTTTAAAAAGAAATAGTTCTACAAGTTAAATGTATTATTTTTTAAGTTTACCTTGTGTTGTTTGTTGGTTCTTTTAAGTAGGGCAGGAAAAGTACATCTACATTTCTTATTTTGAATCAGTTACTACTTTTCCTTTTGATCAGTTGTTATTACTGAGCTATGCTATCTCCTTTCTGAGAAAATTGTAGTTTTACAAATATCTGCATGGCATCAGTCTGAGGAAAAAGAGTTCCTAATACTAATTTCCATTACACAGTGTTGGTAAGTACTATTAGAAGCTGGAATAAATGTGGAGCATTACAGCACTTTTACAAAGTTCAAATCACATTCTGTATTAAATACATGGTTTGTATATATTTGTTTCCCTAGAGGGAAAACAAAACTATTTGAGGTTAAATATCAAATAAAACTATCACAGATCAAAATAATTTCTTCTTTCTTACAGCCAGAAGATATGTTTGTTTGTGACATGAATGAAAAGGACATCAGTGGTCCTCCACTGCACAAGAAACTAAAGAAAAGCCAGTGCACACCTCTTTTTATGAATGCCTACACTATGAGAGGTATGTAGCAATGTTTGCAGTTCAGCAGTGACTGAAACACTGTATATGTACATCCACAAAATTGCTATTCAGTACCATATTCTTTATACATAGAAGTTACAGTGAAATAAACATGAAACTATAAAATAAATTGATATGCAAAGGATATAATCCACAGTAACATCCTGTCAGTATCATTTGGAGTTTAATCTTGTCTTGTAGCTATGCCTGTGATCATGTTTTCAGCACTGATTTTAGTGCAGAATATTGGTAGGTTGCAGGGGAAGCCCAGGATTGCAGCAGTTTTACATCAATGGTTTTGCCAGTTCAGCTATTACAGTTTAAATCCTTTTCCATTCGTTGGCTGAGATTAACAGTTATAAAATAGGAATAGGTGAAAACAGTATGAAACTTTTCTTTTGCAGGTAGAGAGTAATAGAGAGTTTTTGATGTGTAAAATTTACATCGGTTATTTTAGAAAGTATTTCGGGAGTCTCTTCTGGTCTTCCTGCACAAGCAGCTTACATGTGTCCTCAAGGAATAGCAACGTTGCATCTTTATAAGTAGATTATAATTATTGTCTACCTATCTTTCCATCATGACACAGTAAGATGATGAATTTTTTTCAGAGAATCAGCAGATAATTGAGGAAAACGTAAAAAGAAAGTAAAAGGCTTTAAACTTTCATTTAACAAATAAGTTCAGGAATTCCTTATAACCTCAGAACTCTGATAAAATTGACTGTCTCAGTCATTGTAGCATATACAGAAATGTACAAGTAGTGTTTCTGCTTGAATTTGTACAAGCAGTGTCTCTCCTGGAATGTGTCACTGACTGAAAGTTAACACAAGTGTCCTAAGACAATGCATACTTATCCCTTATGAATATTTACCTCATACCTTCATTTAAGTTGCTGTATATTTTCCCTCTCTTACAGCAGATCAACATTTGCTAGGATGCCTAATCAAAGGAAATGAATCTAGTATGTGAATAAAATTTTCATAATAGAGACATTTTAAAATTAATTCTGAATTTTCTTTTTTTGCTCCTAGGGGCAGGCGCAGTGATCCATACACATTCCAAGGCTGCTGTTATGGCTACCCTCCTTTACCCAGGGAGTGAGTTCTCTATTACCCATCAGGAGATGATAAAAGGAATCCAGAAGTGTACTTCAGGAGGCTATTACAGGTACTTCTCTATATTTAGGAAAAGAGGTATGGTGTTTGATTGTTTGTTTTCAGCAATATCAATACAAGTCATTTGAGTTATACACTTGAAAGTGTATAATACAAAGTATTAAGAATAAGAAGTAAAAAGACCTCTGGAATGGATGAGTCACCACTGGCTTTCTGTAAGATCTGAAGCCTGTGTAAGAGATCTGAGATAAGCTCTTGTACTGCCAAGGCTGCTGTGGTCTGTTGAGCTACAGGAAGAAGCCAAATAAAGAGCTACATCCTGAGATGTTGCCACATCTGTACAACATTCAGCTGTAACTGGAGCCAGCCAGCACCAGGTTGGATTGATAGCATGTACAAACTACATTTGGGTGGACTTCACATATCACTGCCTGTGCTAGTTTGGGGCATGTTAAGAGAGTAGAGGATTTCAGATCTACTTGACAGAGTTTGAAAGAAAATTCAGAATAAACAGCTCATTAAAGATAATGTTATTACTTTTCAAGGATGAGCTCTGAGGTAAGTGCTGAGTTATTCCAAATTATGTGTGATGGCTTGTTTTGAGGTCTCCACCCACAGAGTGTTGAATTGGGATCTGCAAACAACATTTATATAACATGTGACAAGGAGATGAGAAATTGAAATGCTAAATTCTTTCCACTTTTTGATGTTAATTTTTGTATCTAACTATTGCCCTTTGGCAAGGGAGAAAGCCATATGTGATTTTACGCCCAGGCATATTTTATTCCATTTTGGTTGACTTGCCAACTTTACTTTATTGTCACCATTAGCATGTGCATTTTTAATGTGGTAAAATGCAAACCCTTGTACTCAATTGTCTAAAAACGTTGTTTTTTTAAAAATCCACAACAATTTTTTATATGCATTTTGAGCTCTTAAGCACTCCTAAATGTTAGTCAGGAAACATTGGATTTATTGGGTTCCATGCCTCCCAGTTTTCTGTGTCATTCTATTAATTTACCCGAAAAATCCAAGAAATCAAAGCTCCTGGTTATATGGCTCATAAGCACATGTTCATTCACACTAGACTGATCCCACTGGCTTGCCTCACACCAGCCTCCCCATTGAATTCAAAGGAAAAATGGGTCCTTGGATTCAAAATACAAAATGGCGCTTTGCAAAAAAGGGATTGCGTGTTGTTTCTAGTTACATAAATCTTTTTTGGAAGCTGTCCAGGAAAATGCTACAGATAGAATAATCAGAAGTATATGTTGGCCTACATATGACTCCAGTGATGCCACACTAGTTTTACCTTTGGTTTCCATAGAAGGAGAATTAGATCAGTAGTAAAGAGGTCAGACTGTCACAAGGTATTTTACATCCATGTTTGACTAAATGTAGGCTGCTTATATTTCAATTTTTTAAAAAAAGAGATCCCAAGTATTTAGCTCATTCAGAATCTTCTTGACATTTTTTAGGTATTAGTTCTTGATGGAAAGCTTATAGTCCTGGTTAGGAATCAGTTATGATATTTGCAAGAGCTTCCAAGCTCAAGCAGAAAGCAGAACCTAGGAAGCCAATCCATTAACTCATTTGGCCTCATTAACAAACACTCCAAGTGTAATTTTAGTATTCCAAATTCATAAGAATCAGAGCTTCAAATACCACCTTACTTTCTTCATTCACTGTTTTTATAGACTTCCTTGAGAAAGTGTCAGCATTGAGAACTGTAAGAGATGAGACTTTATCTTCTGAATATTTGATTTCAAATATAAGCTGTTGATGTTGGGTTTTTTACCATTGCTTTCTTTCTGTGTTCCACAAAAGAAAGTACTACTAGCATCCACTCATGAAATATCTATGTGATCTCAATGATAAATCTGAACTTGAGCTGGGGACTTATTAAAACTATTTAAACAAGTTTCTGCTAGTGTTAATTAAGGTTCAAACAATGCCAAATATCCCAGTCCTCCTTCAGAAGAAACTCTTAGGCAAGTTCCACTGAGTAACGTGCATCATCTTGTCTTTGGAGCTGGGGTTCTCAGGCTCTCTTAAGATCACATGTAGCCCACCAATGACTCCATCACAGAGAATTTATTTTTCATGTGTTGACTCTACTTTCTATTTATATGCCTTAGCAGGACAATCTTCCAGGGGCTTTTTGGACTACCTAAATTATTTTTTTCTGCTCTCCAACAAACAGCTTCATTTCCTTCTATATGATATGATTCTTTTAAATAATTTAATCTGAGGTAAAACTTGTAGATGATGCCAGTACAGGATGAGAAGTTTGAAAAAGTTGTAAAGGGACCCAACTACAAAGTGATATGGGAATAAACAGCTACACATAATAGATTAAAGTGTTGTTTTCTTTTTGTGCCTCAAGTGCAGCTCAGGCATTGCCAGCGTAATATGTGTTTGGGAGTGAGAGATGTTCCTGAGAATTCCTGTGCTACAGCATCACTCACAAGAGAAGAGAATAAGATCTAGTGCTGAGAATTAAACTTTTTACACAGTCAGAGGATAATTTCTTTCTTAGGGAAAAGTTTCATACATCCAAGCACAGGTTTTTTTTAAACACACGAAGATGTCTTTTTTTTTCTAGATATGATGATACACTAGTGGTTCCTATAATTGAGAATACACCAGAAGAGAAGGATCTCAAGGAGAGAATGGCACGTGCAATGGAAAAATACCCAGACTCTTGTGCTGTGCTGGTCAGACGTCACGGTGTTTATGTATGGGGAGAGACGTGGGAAAAAGCCAAAACTATGTGAGTACAGTTCAGGAATATGCTGTCTCTTGCCTCAAGATCTTAATGAACTTAATGCCATGTATGTTTCCAGCCCATGGACAATGATCCAGAGTATTAGGGCCTCACTTTATGTATAGGGAGCTTTTGGGAATGGATTCATCCATGATTCCATTGCTTGGTTTTCCTTCCATATCAGTGCTGGCTGATAGGGTTGCCAGCATTTTCCTTTCAGACAAGTCAACAAATCCCTTCTCATATGAAACATGCAGGCAATCTCTGCTTTTATATGACACCTGCCAATACTGTTTGTGTAGCCTTCCCTAGTCCCATTTTTGGAATTTACCTCATCTGCTGATGGAAATGCAGCAAATAAATATTATGTAGGAAAGTGGCACTTTCCATTCCACAGCATTGGAAATAAACAATAATAGAGCTGTCCAGTCAGACTATCACATTGGTGATAAAATCTTAAGGAAGGAAAATACTAATTTTCATAAAACATGATAAGGCTTGAGCTTTACTTACATTGCATTTTTTCCCTATTTATTTTAGGTGTGAATGTTATGACTACTTGTTTGATATCGCAGTGCAGATGAAGCAGCACGGGCTAGATCCTTCAAAACATCCAGCAGGAGAAAATGGGATCTTGTAAATGTCAACAACATTTATAGTCAGGTGTGAATTTATCTGTAAAGCTGATCTGCTTGGAGGGATAGACTATAGATGACACCATCACTTCAGTCTGCTTTCCCACTCAGGAAACTTCAGTATTGCTCATCTTCCCCCAGTCTGCTCCATTACCACTGCAGTTGTGTCTATGCCTGAAGTGCTCCTTTTCCACACAATGCAGCAAAATATATATATATTAATAGCTAGGTATGTCCAGTGGATCTTTTGTGCCAATGTACAGCATGGAGTGTGATTTCTTTTTAAAACAAAATAAGATCAAGCATTTCCAGAAAAGCCAATGGACTAAAAAGGCCAGAGCCTAGTGAGCTGATATGGACAGAGATGTCTAAACACCCACATTTGTTCTGCTTGCAGGATCAGGTTTGATTTCAGACCATCTCAGTGATATTACTTATGTGGTGGGTTGGTTGAGGGTTTTAGGGGGGTTGGTTTTTTCCTTCAGTGTGGTTGGTTGAGTTTCACTGATTGGTGTTACCTGTTTACCTCATGTAGGAAATCACATTAACTTTCTGTTTTCTACTATAGCAATGATCAGTTTTGAAAGTTTTCATAAGAAATTTTTGAAGTTAAAGCCCAAAGATAATGAGATCAGGGTACTCTACCTGAAGGATACCTGAAACAATTCTCACATATGTACAGCTTGGTATGGCAAAATGCAGTGGTAGCATAACATTTCAGAGTTGGAAAATACAAATTTAAAGGTACCAGTACTGAGATTATAAAAGAATTTCTTGACCAAAGCAGTGGGGCAGGAGGTGTGCTGTCAGTGAGCCTCTGCCTTAGCAGGCATTCAGGGTGCTGCTGCTGCCTGCAGTGAGAAGACACGCTGGCTGCCACTCCTGCACAAAGCTACCTCATGGCCCACCAGGGCCATTCTAAAATTACTTCTCAGCCCCTGCAATTGGATAAGTTGGGCTACTATAGTGGCACTAGTATTCCTTTGCCTATTTTTGTTGACATGTTTTAGAATATTTTTGCTTTTACTTTGTTTCTCCTGTACAGGTTTCTTACATGATGATGGGAGTTCCAGCTTTCACCCCACATTACTGAAGCCAGAAGGGGGTGCTGATCCTCAGCTGATTGACAATTGAGAGCAGCAACTTTTAACTGTTAAATGCACCTAAGAATTAAAGGACAGTTAAAAAAAAAAAAAACAACTACTGAACAATCATTGCAATTTCCAAGTCCTGTCGAATGCCACAGTAGAAGGAATGAAAATTCAGATGCAAAAATACTTTGAAAAACTTTGGAGAACTAATGTCACATTTTGGTTTTGTGCCTTAAAAATTCGTATTTCAACAACTTGCACTTGTTGATCCTGCCCTAATGCTACATCATTTAACTTGAAATAAGTCTTCATTTCTGAAAGTTATTGTAGCTTTTATTCTTCCAGAAAAAAGTGAGGACAGCCCCTTAATTATAAGTTAGTAAAGTTTAAAGCATTGTTTGAACTGTTGATTCCTTCATACCATGTTTGTGTTTATGTTTTCGGGGTTTTTTCCTTTTTTTAAATAAAGCCTGTAGCATATGTATTTTTAAACTCTCCTAATTGTCATTATAATGAGAAGGAAATTTTATAGCATGTATTTTGCAGCTGTTACTGAGGGACTGCTCTGGGTCTTACCTTTTTAAATTCCTTCACTTTGAATAACAGCTTTGTATGACCTCTACTTAGCCCCCACCCCAAGGTAGATTTAATCAACCTGCTCATTCAAACACAGTCTTGCATAATTATGACAGAGTCTTCTTTCAAAATCTTCTGGACTGGCCCCCTGGTGGCATCAGTGTAAGCTCAATTGACCAATTTTCTAATTGGGTATTGAGACCTCAGTCCCAAGGGTGAGCTGAGCCAGGCTAAGTGCCGGCTGACCCTGGTTTCTGCTAGGGGCTGTGCATTCCCACCACTTCCCATTCCATCATCTCTGGCACTTTTTTGGAGCTTCCATGAGGTGAATTAACTCTTCGGCCTAAAATAAAACTACTGTGGGAGTGAGGGAAAAATTGTTTCAATTATTTCCTACTACTAAGTCACTGATAAAAACACTGAATCGAGTCAAAGATGGGTCCAAAGAGAACCTAGAGCCAGGGCAAGAGGAGATGGCTGATGCCAGAGATGGCAGACACCGCTTCCCCCTTTTCCGGAGGATGACAGTTAAGGTCAGTGTTTGTGTACCTTAGGCATGTTTGCCCTTCCCTCTTGTACCTCTGAACCTGCAGTGTGCAACATTTAACCCTTAGGGGGACATTGGTTATGGTAAATAATGGTTATCACTGGGTAACTACAGGTTGTTTGCTATATGTTTATTGATACCTTTTTTCATTATTAGACATTTGTCAGGGGCAAATAGTTTGTCACATTCCACATCTTCTGAGTGTATGTGGATTGCAGTAAGAACTTGTGTGAAAATGCTATTTTTTAGACCAGAGAGTGACTTTGGACAGGCTGCTTCACTTAAGCATAAAATATCTCTGAAGTGTGTTCAAGACTTGAGAGGTGCAGCTGTCTTTAAGGGAAAGCAGACTGTAATTCTCTCAGCTTTTCTTCCCTGTGGATGTACTAATAAAAACATTTCATGTGACAATCCAATTAGTCTTGAAATCTAGTTGCCACCTATTGATTGTAGCCTTTAATTATTTATTTAAACTGTCTGATTTTTGCAAAAAATAACTTTGTGTGGTATTCTGATTATGATTTCAGAATAGGTGATAATTGTATCATTCCATGATACTGATGTTTTACAAGGATGAAGAACATTTTACATTTGATGGCTTTTTGTTTTGCATACATAAAGACAAACCATAAAAGAACACTCATGAGGAAAGGTATTTTTTGCCAAATATATTCCTCTGGGGTTGTATGAGTTACAATATTCACTTTCTCATGCAGCTACAATTTGCTCTGTAGCCTTTCTAAATTCTGTAAATAATCACATTTCTACAGTAGTAGTTAAGTTATTTCATACAGGATTCCTAGATGCTCAGAGTCCCATTTAATGATTTGGAAATTTGTTAAATGCACCCTTCTCCTGTCTTCTCATATGAATCCTCATCAAAGAAATTAATGCCTTCACAACCCTGGTGGCTTCCTAACCCTGTGAAATGATTATTGTTTCCTGAAGTGCTCACAAAGCTCTGGCAGTTCAGCTCTGATTATGTAGAACAAAAATAGGAGAACGTCTCATATGATTCAAATCTTATTGACTCACATAATTTTTAAGTCTATCTCTTTTCCTGATGTGAATATTAGGCTTTTAAGCCAGCTAGGTGTTTTTCTGTGTTTGCAGCAAAGACTTGATCTCCACCAAAGCTGATTATCTAGGTTTAGTATCACAGATAGGCTCATGGCAGAATGACATAATTCCCATTTAAATGGTTCATCCAAAAAGCTAAGTAAGTTCCAACGTTTCTCAATAAAAGTAACTTCCTAGCAAACATCCTGCTTGCTTTCCAAGAAGGAAATAAAACTGCAGAATACAGGATCTCGAAATGTTAAAGAGATAGAACACTTAACTTACCGTAAGCGGTTATGATGCCAATGTATATTCTGTTGTAAATGCTGTAATGCCTGAACAATTGGCATCCTCTTCAACTCTGAAATTTTAATTAAAAAATTAATATTAAAAAAGCCCACTGACTAGTGGAACATTACAAATAAACCAGTAGCCTTCCTCTAAATTGTTTTTTTTGCCACACATTTTGGCAAACAGGTTTGTAACAGTTTTTTGCTATTTTACAGAAGATGGCAAATGAGAAAAAAGATCCCTGGAACACTCTAAATGGATTACTCCCATACTGAGGAGTAGAAGAAAATATATAGCTTGATATTAATCCTTCCTGATTTCAAAACAATTAAAAACCCCTGAAAATACTTCATTTTTCAAGCAACTTCATATTTGTATTTCAGGTATGTTCTAAGGGGAGGTGAACCCTTGCAGGCTTTGGTTTTGTTTTGTTTTCCTAGGTACAATAAAAAGTTGCTCCTTACAGAGCCAGGCTGTGTGCAAGGACAGCCCTCTGAGCTGAGACAGACTTTTGTAACAGGGGTAGAGGAGCCTGTGATTGCACTTTGCTACCAACTAATCTGACCCTTCATGGGTCTGGATGTTTGCTTAAATTTCAAGTCGGCTTAATGTTAAAGGCTTAATGTTACTCCAGAAGAATGCTACCTGACCTGATTTTTAAGAATGAATTTTTAAGTCCCTAAGTCTGAAAAAGAGATCTCAGGCATTTATCCTGGTACTGCTAAAGGTTTTGCTGCTTATAATGGATGGTAAATAAAATCTGGCTTTTGGTTGACTTGATTAGCACAGGCTTGTATTTCTGCTAAATAGGAGTGCCAGAGTTTCAGCATATACTGAGTGAACCATTGCAAAATTATTTTGGAGATGAAACCTCTAGTGGAACCACATCCATTGCCTGTTTCTTAGGATTTTAATCTATTTTAATCTATTGAAATCAAAAGCAATTCCAAATATTAAATTTTTAATTTTTCTGTAGTCTGCACACTTAATCTAGAATCTTCTAGTTTTTGCTAGAGTAGTCAAAGAAAACCAGTGACTGCCTAATGCTCAGTACAAAAATGGATTGAGCGTGTTTGTGTGGATGGGAATAATGGAAATTCATATACTCTGAGTAGCATTGACAAACACACTCTGTACTTATATATGTCTGTTGGAGTTTTTAACTCTAAGAGACTGTGCTGTTGGACTAGCAAATTTCTCCCATCTATGACAGATAAAATTACAGGTTAATCTCCAGAAACCAGATCAACAGGAATTTATTTAAGTAGTTAAGCATAAATTCTGTCTCCTTAATGAGCCTCAGATTAGCTTCAATTTCTCTAATGGTAATTTCTGGTTATTACAAACAGAATACACTGGATATAGAAGAAAGAATAGGTTTTATATTTAAAACAAAGAGCTGGATGTCTAGATTTTGTGGCTGATTGAACTGTTACCTTAAGGTCATGCCTTGAACAGTTCACTTTGATGGGAATTTCAAAAGACCTTGAATGAATCAGATACTACCCTAAATCCCATTGGAAAGTTATGGGATTCATTTTGTTAGGCTCCCCTCTTAACTCCAAGGATGTAGCTGTCTTTATTTCAATCAGGAGTAAGAAAGAAAAAAACCAGAGAAGGTCACCTTGAGTACAAGCTGCCAACTTCATCACTGCTGTGTCCCAGTTTGATATCAAATATCTAATTGGTATTTTTTCCCTATGTAAGAAACTTGTAGTTAAGGAAAAGGTTACATAGCTTGATTTCACCTAGAAGGAATTTACAAACCCAAGAAATCAGGAACTGAGCTATCCTGCTTACTCGAATGTGCATTAAGACTACCAAAAGTAACAACGCGCAAATTTTGTGACTCCAATTTCTCCCTTCCCAAAGGACACCAGCTCTCTGTCTTTCCAGATGAAACCTCTGTTTTATAATGCCATTTTTTAGTTCCTGTTCTCCAGACAAAGCAGGTTACCTTGACAGTCCCCATTGCAGGGCAGTTCCTGAGAACACTGCAATAAGGAGTATGTGTGAATGACGACTGCTCATTGCCTGGGCTCTGCAGGTTGCTGGGCACTTAACACAAATGATTCCATTTCTTTTGTCTTTATGCTTTGTCTCATTTCCGTGCTTTATTCAGTTTTAATCCTGCTTTTCTGCAAGACTTTCTTCCTTATGGTGTTTTCCTTACAATCATTGAAACCAAATGTAAACTAAGTACCATTTGCATTCTGGTTGAACTTTCAAACCCAGGAATATTTTTGTGTTGCAAACATCTCTTTCCTGATTCATCTGCTACATCCCTGACATATCTGGGCATGTCCTGTTATTGTCTGTTTGCAAAATTTTGGTACTTAAAACAGTTAATGTGTCTTTTGTATCTCAGACACACTAGGATTTTGCAAGCAAGTGTCTGTTGATTGCAAGAGCATATGAGCAAGTATGAGACTAAATTCCTGTTAAGGAGTCGCTACATTAAAAGGATATTTGCATAATCATAGACCAAGATAATGTAGGGAAAACCCCTGAGATTATTCTGCTGCCAGGATTAAGCCAAGCCCAACATGTAATTTATTTGAATGCATGAAAGCTGCCTCTTATCGTTCACTTCTATCTCAAGTCTCCAAGCACTTTAGTTGGCAGCAGCAGGCTCTAACTCCTCCTGGGTAATTCATTATCCTCAACAACTTTTAAAAGGGTATTTTAAGTTTAACTTAACAGTCCCTGCAACTTAATTAATACAATAAAAAAACTATTCCTTTTATGAATTTCTGTCACGTGTTCAAAATCAAGCTGCACCATCTTCTTGGGTCATCATTTTATTTGATGCCCTCCCCTTCAGGTTATGATAACTTCAGAAATATTGCATGCACCACAGAAACAGGGGTTCAGGACTACACTATGAAAAACAGAGGCAAAACCAATGAGATTCCTAATGCAGGTACTTTTTTAA